ATCAGAGACCCAGGACGCAGGTGGCATCAGTCGCGCGCTTGCGAGGCCTTCCGGAGCCCTTTCATGTGCCCTTGTCACGTGCCCCTTTTTTTCTGGTGAGACAGATGTCACCGAGGAGAAATGACAGAACCTAATTTATGAGGATCTAAACCTCCACAGCCCTCGCTTGACAAGAAGCCTGTCCTTGTGGGAAAAGAAAGCGCTCGAAGTGCGGCACATTCAGGGGGAGTGAGCTAAGAAGGCTAGAAAGTGACCAAACCCAACATTCTCACTTGATGCCAGCACGCGGGACTGCGAGCGTCATTTTGAAGCATTCGCTTTCAGAATTAGTGTCAATAGACTCGATTTGAAAGCGGTTCTTTGCAATCCCGCATTCTGCGACCTTCAGCGCTCCGAAAACATCACGCTAACCTAGTAATCCATCCGAAAATTTGTTCAGCCTTTCAAAGATGTAACAAATGCAGAAGACCCCGATTCGCCGGACCCAAGGTGTCAAACCCTCGAACGCTCTCAAATCTTGTGCTGGGGAGGGCGCTCGCTGCCTGTTCAGCACTTTGCTCATATATTTCCGATCCTTTCTTCAATACTATTTATCAGAACAAGTTCCTCACTTGACGCGGCCTGTGTTTTCGCGGTCCAGCATGCGCGCGACTTGCAGCGCCTCCTTCTCGTCGAGTCGCACCCCTAGTTCCTTCAGGCTCTCGTGCAGCTCCTTGTACGCCACCGAGTCCAGCTGCTCCACGTCCCGGCGCGCGCACACCGCGCGCAGCTGCTCGCTCTTCCAGTACAGCTGCACAAAAGCCGCGCGCGCGTTAGGAATCTTAGCCGCTTTCATAACTTCACGCGCTTGCTCTCACGCCTTTCCAGACCTTTCCGTTTCTGTGTTTTGAGCGCGCACGTCCGCTCGTGTTGCCGCGTTTGTTGCCGTTTCGTGGCCGACCACGTGGTGTGTTCTTCGGTCCGTCACTCCCGCGCTACTGCGCACCTTCTTCTGGTGCTGCTTGCGGGGCGCTTCAGTAGGTGGAACTCTTGGGGGTCTTGCATTACGAGCGAGGTACGCAACTTCTCATCAGAGGCCAGATTAGGCTTGGGGGCCAAATTTTAAGTGTTTCCGCTCACATAGAGACGATCAATCTCAGATTACAGGGCCCTACGAAGTCCGCGCTTCTGTAACGAATGAGAAGAAAGTTGAGCTCAGCTAAAGCGCCCTCTTGCTTTTTAGACCCTTCAAAAGACCAGAAGCTGTCTCAGCCAGCATTTGCGTGCAAGTTTGGGGTGACGTGATGAGGAAAAGCGCCCCTACCTTTTCTTCAATCTTCTCCAACGGAGTGGCCTTCCGGTTCATCGCCACAGCCACGCGCGCGCGGTGGGCCGCGTCGGCCGCGTCTGCGCGCGCACAAAAGACATCAGATTTGAGTGGGGCTTGGAGGCAAGAATTTCAGATCCAAGCGGACTTGCACCTACGCCTTTCTAACAGCGTCAAGAGACGTAAGAAGAAGTCTTGGTGTACTAACGAAGCAGTCAATCTCAGGCTTCGATCAGGGAACGGTTCCTAGGTGAGCACGCTGAGCGCGTAAAACCGCACGACTGTTTTCGTACCTCGCAGGATCGCGGCCGCGGGATCGTAGAAGTAGCGCGGGTTTAGAGGGTTGGAAATAAGCTGCCGCTGGAAGCCCCACTTCTTGGCCCCAATGTCGATGTCCGAGATGTCCACAGAGGTGCCCACGCCGCCACGTGTCAGGCTGCAACACGTCCAGATCAAAATGATCTTTGAGTTGCGAACTGATAATGCGCTTGCGCTGAGGGCTCGAATCATTCGCAAAGCATGCGCGCTAAATTGCGACGTTTGTCAAACGGACTCTGATTTTGGGTCGGCTGACGAAACCGAACATGGTTCAGATTGTATACCTTCTCTTTATTGGAGACTTACAGATGGATCTCACCGCCCGGTAGTCCAAGTCAAACTGTAAAGAGCACTCCTCAATGCTGTCCCTGTTGATCCGAAAGAAGCTATTGGTATTGTCGCACCGCTGACTAGCTGATACGCTTCTTTCACAGATGATGCTGATAGCCCTTCTACTATAGCCCTTCTGACATTACCACCTGTCCTTGACGTCTATTGACACGTCAGTTCTGCGCCGCCCCAACTTCAGCCAAAGAATGTCACCTTCGAGCAAGGTGCTTTGCTTGTGAACGAGGGGACGCATCCTCCTCGAGCCGCGTTTTCCGGGCCGGCTTTTTGTACAGACTGCGGGCACGTGTCCCGCTGATGTCATCGATGGCGAGGCCGTCAGTGACCCTGGAGCTGAAAACCTGCGTTCGACGAACTCCAAATTCGACAGAATCCAGATTCGACGGAATCCAGATCGACGGAAAAGCTGCCTTCGTCGAACTTCGTAAATGAGAACGTTTGTCACAAGTAGATGCAACTCCGCCACGCCTTTACAGTTGATTCCTTCGAGCACGTTCACCAAAGCTATGCTTTTTACTTTTGAAGCTCTTGAACAAGTCGCTGTTTGAAGCATACGGCAGCTTGACTCCTTGAGAAAAGGCCGTCCGTTCTGACCAATAACTTCGTGCTGACCATATGCCTTCGAATGTGCTCTTCTACGCGTCGCTTATGTTAAGCTGAGAGTTGGGCGCTGATCCGCCTGATCTTTCCAGCGTGCTACTGCTTTTGCCTCTGTTGCATCCAAGCAGATCTGCATGACACTCCAAGTCGTGACTAAATAAGAAATCTCACCCGTTCATTTGCACTTCCAAACAAAGTCGTCGGGACATTGTGGTTGGCCAGGGTATAGGCGGGGGTTCAAAGTAAGTTGCAGCGAATAAGTTTCTAACTCTGCTGGCTGTGCAACGCACTGGCCATCAGTACCTTCGTGTTATTGCATGAATTTCTCACAAGATCCTGATCTCCGATCCGAATGTTATGGTGTTTGTTTGGCAACCTTGTACAAGGCGATGCTAGAGAGAGAGTAGCAACACAACACGGATTTAGAACGAATTCATATGCAACGTTGTTTTCGTACCTCGCCGTCAGTCCCTGCGGGAATTGCGCTTCCGCCCTCAGGCAGCTGATAGACAGGCTCCAGCGGGTTAATGCTCCGTTTGGTGGTCAGAAATGCCTTCTTTGCGGACACGCGACGCTCCTCCTCTTCCAGCCAAGCATGAGTGTCCAACTTGCTAGGCCCAGGCTGCAGATGAGTGTGTTTGTTTGGACGTTATTCTGCTTTTGACAATGCAGATAGGTCCTTTGGAAACAGACCCTTTTGAACCATGTTCGGGACCCAATGAAAAGACTTAGCCTTTCCAAGATCAAGGGACATACCGAGGTACGTTACCAATTCTGCTTAAAGCCTAAGCAAATGTATAGCTCTCCAGCTACATAGCAACAGATCGACACCATCAGCTCAACTGCCAATTTGGAACCATAGCATTGATGCCTGCGCATAAGTCGTCAAAAGCTTGTATCATAGAATTACTCCACCTTGATGCATTTCTGTGCAAGCGGCTGCTGTCGTTTTCTCTTTTTCACAAAGTGGATTGTCAAGACTTGTTTTTTAGCTAGGTGTTCGGGCTGGGGTTGTGCTAGCTTCTTGTGTCAAATATTGAGCAGAACACTTGTAGGTGCCTCTCACAAGACAACTGGGTAACCCGCTATAAACTACCAACGGATTGGCTTTGGAAAGAGTGCTGATGATTGGAGCAGTATTTCCATCAGCGTCAACTTTTGCAGTCACCTAGAGATTCCATACAGCTAACAATGCTCAAGGATCTTCCCGCCTATACTTCCATGGATTACCCCCATTTGAACAATCGGTGACCTTGTGCAGTTTACCACACAGTATGCATAAAGTTGGAGCTCTATATTCCCACCTCCTCCAGCACTTCGCTCCGAGGTGACACTTAGAGCATAAAAGCAGCTAAGCAGCTTTTTGCAGACCTGGTTAGGTCAGACATCTAGCTTTGCCCATTACCTGACTGTGTGGCCGCTTCGGTGGTGATGCCTGCGCCCCAGGAATATCAATTGTCCTCAGATTGAGCGCTTCAGCCACAGGCCACACCGAACCAGGATTTGTAGCAAATGGAGGGCTCAGCTTTGGACTGCCAGCAGGGTCCGAGAAGACATCCCGAGAGCTCAACTCCCAGTTGAACGTGGCTTTCATCTCTTGCGATGACGAGCGGAGCCGCTCGGCATTGATGTGAGCCGCTGAGTGTTCCATTTTCTTCCTTCTTTTCAGGTCAGCAATTCTCATCTAGCTGGAAGTAGGTAATCTTTTCAAGTTCAAAGTCTTAAAATTCTCATCAGCAGCCTCTTCTTAGGCTGGTGAACTTATTCTAATTTAACCTCATCTAGCTCACCGCACGATAATGTTTTCAATGGGTGAAGCCTTCGCCTGAGTTGAATGCTTTGGGCCACCTCCTCGCTCCTTTTCCATGAGGGCTTTGCATTGCATTATCTGCTTTGCTCCGGCATCCAGCCTGCAGCAGACAAACCATGTCCACGCAGACACAACTGAAGATACATATTGCCCTTCGCACACACCAGGTAAACTTGATGGGAACTGAATGGCTGTAGGAAACCACCTTCCATATTTTCTACATAAGCTTTCCTGAGCTTTCATGCCGGCTTCCTCTGGAAAGATTTGATTTGTTGCTCCTTGAATCAGGATGGTGCACTTGCGACTCAACAGTGAAATGACCGCTCATATCCCTGACATGCTGACACAGATGTCACTCAGACGTTTCAGACTCGACAGTCAGTCTGACACCAAAATCGTTTCCGACTCGTATTGAAGTTCCGCTTTCAAATCCAAAGTGTCAATCTTGCAACCCCTGACGATGGTAGTCGTATCTTGACACAACGGAGCAAAGTGCATGCTCGTCAACTGCTGTCTATTTCGAATCTTGCAAGCGCGCGCGCATTATCGATCCAACGGTGGTGCTTCTGCGCCGCAGACGCTTTCAGGCTGCATTATGCATTTCTCAACAACCGACCTGCTGGCAAGGGCTACAAGAAGTTCACTGTTCAGAACGGCAAGCTGCTTCGATCCATATGCTTGAAGTATAGCTAGATGGGTTCTCTTGCTTTCAAGGTCTTTCTTCTGCAATTCGCACTTGCGCTGCATCTATAGGTAGGTTCTGCATATTTGTGAGCTGGTCTTTGCCCCGTAGTGCCCTTGGCATCCAGCAGAAGGTGAGGGATTGGAAGCTTGCCTTCCAAGCTGCAGTAGCACGCTCAATGAGTTGTTGCTGATATTAACCAGGTGTGCAACTTGCTCTAAAAATCAATATCTCTGGCGGTCAGAAAGTTGTTTGAAGAAGCTGCTGAGACTTCCTTCGACCTTCCTCTTGCTCAACATGAAGCAACTTGCGCAGGTGTGCTCAATGACCGACACTTTAATACTCACATTTGCAGCTAGTTCGCGTGAGTCACTGCTCAGGATCCGGAAGAGCTCATCCTACTGACTCTGCCAATCAAGCTTCCTAAGGAAGGAGGGGCAGCACTGAGCAAATTGGAGGCTGACCGAAGACAATGGACAGAGAGGCAGACAAGAATGCAGATGCCGGGAGTGACGATGAGGAGATTGACGAATATGACTATGTGTGGAGCAATGCAAGGTAAGCGCCACCTCAGAGTTTCGCTTATAAAAGCCAGACGCTTGTCTTGCTGAGGAAGGTTTCTAACCCTCTTCCCATGACTTGCCGGTGAGCATCGCAGCACACAGTGGCAGGTAGGAAAGATTGGGGACATGCCCTGGCGAGAGGCTTAGCAAGCTTCGTCTGTCCTGGGTGCCATGGTAAGACGAAGAATATTTGTCAGCAAAAGAAGGAGCAAACCCAGCTGGTGGTCCTTTCAGCAGTACACAGAGACGAGCTTAAGAAAAGGAAGCCCAACGATCCAGCGGGAATTTCGTTTGTTGCATGCCAAATGCAAGTCCTCACAAGTGCGTACAAAAGAGCTGCCTGAAATGTTTCGTTCTCTGACTTTGCAGGCAGGATATGGTGTACGACAAAACGGGACGGAAGATCAAGCGCAGCATCGTGAATGCACGCGAACAGGCAATCGACGACTACGTTGCCGAGCACTACGGGGGTGGGGTTGATCCAAACCGGACGGAGCAGCAGAAGAAAGCGGAGATGAGGGGTAAGGGGGAGGGGCCGTCGAACATGAAGAACAAAAATGGGGAGGAGATGAGTTTTGAGGAGCTCATGCAAAACTTCCGGGAATGGCAGCAGACTCCTGAGGGAAAGGAGGCGATCCGCAAGGAAGAAGAGGTTAAGGCGAGGAAAGCCGCTAAGAGCGGGGGTGCATCAGAATCTGTGGGAGGTGATGTCAGCAAGGCAAAGAAAGGTGCCAAGGGCAAGAGCGTGGAGAAGGCGGGTAAGAAGGTCCAGGAACTAGAGCGGAAGTTGCAGAAGTTGGAGTTAGTGGGGAGTCCGTTGGCAGGGCGGAGACCGCTCACAGGGTATCCTTTAGACCGGCCGGAGAAGCTGGAGCAGTGGCGGACCTACATGGTAAGTGGGAAGCTGGAGGCAGAGTTAAGTTGTCCCTTGATCTCCTGCATTGTAGCCTTCTGAAATGTGGATTCAAGAGTAAACTAATTTGGACTTTCGACAATTCAGTGGAGGTTGTACCCCTAGGAGACAGATACTCGAGAACAGAAAGCTTTTACTTGTAAATCTTCAAGGGTTTGAATCGCGAGTACCTTTAAAAGTTGGTTAAGAGCTAGAAGACATAGTTGCTATGTCTGCCTATTGCATGTATCGCAGAATGCTCAGCAGCGATCGTTGGAGGATACAGTATCTTGAAGTGCTCTTCCTGTGGCAGTGACAAGTGTAGGGATGAACTGATTGCATGTCATCCTGAGAGGTATTAACATCTTATTTGGGGTTTTCAAGTGGCTTGTGAAGTAGCGCTTGTTCTGCAGCCCCCTTGTGTTTCAGGCAGGGCCTATCATCTTTTCTAAAGGGAATTTGCGTATGGTGCTTTAGGAAAGAGCACTGGAGCGAGTCAAAAATGCTTCAACTCTTTCTAGGGCAGAGTGCTGATGTTGATTCCTTTAACAAATCCCCCCAGCACTCGTAAGTTTTCACTCTCAAGTAGAGCCGTACAAAGAAGACACAAACTCATGCAATGAGCTTTTAACGCATTCGAGGTAAGGTTGTCGCCTTATCAAAACAGGCCTTGCTCTCCTGGTTTGTCGCAGGGAAAGGACGGGCGAGCTTACTTCGTTCGAGCAGGCGACAACGGACCCGGCACGTTTTGGAAGCCGGACGACCTGCTAGACACCTCGGAAGCTCAAACAGGTGATGTGACACCCCTCTCCAATCAACATCTTGCGAGCCCTGTCTTTCAGCGACTTTTGAATCGGCTTTTGCCAAGTTGTTGTGAGATCCTCGTAGAGGAAATGGACCCTTCCGTTGACATCTCAGAGTTTGCACGGATAAACATCCGAGTTGCTGATTCATCCTCTATCGAGGAAACCTCTATCTCTTACGATTCCAACCTGTCAAGCCTTCAATCCCTCAACCCTAAAATCATAAACCTCTAGACGGGCAGGGTGGCAAGAGCTCTTTGACAAGGACGGCCGCCTCTACTACTACGACCCGAAGACTAGATTTCCAAACGCGCAACCCTAAACTTAAACCCGTTTTTCTCACAATCTCGATTTCTGAAACCTTCAACCCCTCAACCCTCTACCCTAAAACCCTAAATCTCTGGACGTGCAGGTTGGCAAGAGCTCTTCGACAAGGACGGCCGCCCGTACTACTACGACCCCAAGACTAGAGAGACCAAGTCGCAGATGCCGAGCCGCCTCAAGGTCGCACGCACAATGGCTGACGTCATGCTGAACGTTGGTTACGACGATGACACCACGGCGCGCTTGGCGCCGAAACCGGGACCGGCGGGCTGGAACCTTTTCTCCGACGGTGAACTGCGGAATGCCAGTGTGGTAAGGAAGCGGAACCGGAACCGGAAAGAGGAATGAAATATTTTTGTCTTGATGGCAAGGACATTCTTGCGAAGTAATGTGACGGGCACTGAAGGACTGTGTTGGGCGGACTTCGTGAGGGCCAAAGGAACTTAGGTACAGGATTTACAACTTTTGCTTGAGGTTCCTGGTAATGCTTTGTTGTTGTCTCAAGCTGAGGTTGTCTGCAATGTTGTTGGTTGACGCTGTTCATTAGCCTCTGTTCAGGTCTGCGTTTGCTGTGTGTCCGGAATTCCGGAGTTGACCCTCCGACATTCTGAAACGTTCAAGTCCTTGTAAAGTGCGTGTTCTGTAACCGGGTCTTTCTGATATTCTATTTCTGCCGCGATGAGCCCGGCGACCAAGACTTGAAAGTAGCAGAAGTGCGGCTGAATGTTTCGCCGATTCCGCTCACATTCCGCTCGATATCTCTTCCTCCCAACAACCGTGCTTGTAGACAACCCCATACCTGGTATCCAACCATATCAAACTAGTACTTGAACGTGCTTTGAAACGGGGAGAGCACATGTGCACAAGCGGACTTCCGCCTTCATGAAGGCTGAAGAGCGCTGTTCGCTCCCTCAGGAGGAGTTTGCGGAGATGTGCTTGACGATCTTGAAAGGGGTTTCCAACCCATCCAACTGGTTCTTAAACGGCCGTCCTTAAAACGGGAAGAGCACGAGCACAATCGAATGTTCGCCTTTATGCACTCTCAAAAGCGTTGTTCGCTTCTTCAGGAGGAGTTTGCGGAGTTGTCCGCTTCCCGCATGGTGGACATGATGTCTTCCGGGGGCGTTCCGATCCCGGATGCAATGCGCGAGTCGTTGAAAGCGGCGTGGAAAGAGCGTACCTTAGAAGAGTGCAAGAACGTCCCGCCGAAGGGAGGTGCATCGAAGAACACGTCGGGACAGGATTCGAAAACTAACGCGTTCGACGAGTTTAGAACGCTCCCAAACGGGCAGCGCGTGAGGGTGTGCTGGGAGCCGAGCTGCGGCAAAGACGAAGCGACGGCCGGAAAGTTCAAGCGCTGCAACGCGTGCGCCAAGGCGCGGTATTGCTCCCGTAAGTGCCACGCTTCCTTGAGTTCTACAAGCTGCGACTTGCAAGTTGTTTGGCACTCATGAATCAGGGAAGCCCAGTTTTGCATTTGTGCGCGCTTGGTAGTGTGTTACTCTGACTTCGAACCATTGGAATATTGACCCCTGTTTGAACTTGTGTTTGCAGGGGATTGCCAGCTCCAGCATTGGAAAGCTCACAAGAAGGATTGTAAGGAAATGGCAGCCGAGAGGCTTGAGGGAAAGCCTGGCAAAGCTCATACATAATTTACGGGTCAGTGCATGCAAGAGCGGCATCCTTGATAGACGTACAGCTTCCGGATTTGCATTTGTATCGGACGTTTACGCACAGTGAAGTGACTTTGTAAACACACGTTCCATCGCTGTATATAGTAAATGGACAGGCTTGAACCCGAGCTTATATGGCTAGCTCCAATTAGTGTCTGACGCAGACGCATTGGATGGTGATGCGGTGACGCCCCTCTTCTTAGCGACTATCGCCATTCTGATTGTTACAAAAAGCTCCGGTTGATTTCAGTACTAGGCCACGCTGCACTTTGTTTGAAATATGTACATATACAAAATGAGCTGCATCATGAGGCTGCGGCGGCAGTTAGCTAGCCATTTGATTGCAGTGACTCACTACTAGCTGTTTAGAGCGCTTGCGTTGTATGAAAAGTTTCATAAACGATCGGCATTGCATATCCGGCAGGCCCGCCGCGCGGCTAATCGACTGCCGCATCTTGGGGCCGCGGCGATGCATGTATGTTGGTATTTAATGCCCACAATGCTTTAAGTAATAACAGCCTCGGATCAAACGATAGCAATCAGGACCGGTATCATTCGACAATACCAGAATGCAGTCTCGGTCCGTCGCGCGTGCGCTGAAACATTTGAAAAGTAGGTCCAACCGCATTGGCAGGTCGCGGGCAGGTACAGCTTAAATGGGCATGGGATCTTTGACGCACTAGAATACGTTCTTACCGCTCTGTAGAATCCGACAAATCACTACGTCCTTCTCGCGACTCTCTACCTGATCTCCAGACTCGCCTAACGTCTCCAGGTCGGATCTCCGACTGATCTCTTCCAATTGCGCTTCGTTGCTCGCGCGCTCCTAGGAACGCTTCCCGGAAGCGCACGTCATTTGGCGTCAAAAGCGCGCTGATTGACACCAGCCGGTCGAAGGAGCCCGCGGCTCGGGCGCCCTCGTGCCGGGGCTTTATTCTGGTGTCAAGGCTGAAGCTGAAGAAGCGCGGGAAGCGTACCTACGAGGATGAGCAACTACGGTTAAGTTTGGCGTCGAACAGATGCTCAACTTTCCAGTCTCTCATCTCCGGTCCAGATTCATTATGTATAACATTGCTCCGGCTTTGTGTCAAGCACATATTTCTAGATCGTGAGAGAGGAAAATGATACTCATAAGGCTGGATTTTTCAGCGGATTGGCTCGTCTCCCTTACCGGGTAAGCGGCCAACGTCAACTTTCTCGATTGCTTGATACAGAATTTCAGGAAAGGATTGGAGAAAGAGAATCGAATTCTTTGGAGAAAGAGAATCGAATTCCGCACTGCCGAAGATAGCTGGCAAGTCCTCTAGCGAGCTCCTCTAGCGAGATCGACTCGTTTAGAAGGTCATCCACTTCTTGCGCAGTACCTCAAGAAGAAAAGCATAAGATTACGAACTCTTCGAGCTCGTTAATTGAGCGCCCCATCTGCGCGCCATCTAGATTCCCAGGTAGTTGACTTCGGGCTGGCAGTGCCGCCTAGCAGGTAATCTACTTTTGATGCAGACGTAACACAGAAGTTCATAAAACGGAACAATCCAAAGTACCACAAGAATGTGACGAACTCACGAGCTCATCCACCGGGCGCGCTATCAAGATAGCCGATCGGGGGCTGAACGCTGTCGCTTACGCTGTACTTCAGGAGGTAGGCAACTCGATGCCAAAGCGAACCAGAAGTTGGTCAGAAAACATAGAAGCACAATCAAGGAGTGAGTTACAGACTCACGAGCTCGTCAACCGGGCGCCCCATCTCATTCACCAGGTAGTCGACTTTGGGCTGAAAGTTGCCGCGGACGCTGTAGGTCAAAAGGTCCGGAAACTGTTCAACCATGTAGGCGAGTTCGTGTCGGCTCAGGCCGAGACGCTCGAAGAAGGAGACCTGCAAGAAGGAGGAATCTGGCTGGCGTTGACTGACAGGCGTTGGGAGCATAGAAACGCTTCCAGTTAGGAAGGCAAGAGGACGCGATGGCAACGGAGTCCCAAAGAGGAGGTCGAAAAGGGCTGATCATTTAGCACAGACTGAACTTGATTACGCCGATCAGTTGACTCCCAATTGATACGAGAAGAATTCTATCTTCAGCGTTTCTTTCCCCAAATTGGATCTAGCAGCTTTGCCGTTCCAGAACCTGACTTGGTTATGCTAACCATGATCATTATTGTATTGTGGTGGACCAAGTACCGCATGATCAGCATGCAAGTAGGTACCTGCCTACTCCGATGAGGAAAGCAGCCTCAGCCTTCTCGGTGTACGACTTTGCGGAAAACAAATAGAGAAGATAGATAGATATGTCAACAAACGAACGAATAATTGAAGAAACGAACGAACAAACAAACCGAACAAACAGACAAAAAAAGACAACAAAGACACAGTCAAACAAATATACAATCCGACAAACACAACAAACACACCAACAAACAAACAGATTGGTCAACGGATGAACGAACAAAGAAGAGGATAAACAACAGACGAATACTCGTAACCACTCCGGCACCTCACCCGCTCCTCGAGACCCTGCACGCTGGTCAGCAGCACCCGGGGCTTCCACCCGACCACTTTCCCGACCTGGCCTTCCGTCAGGCCCAAGTCGTACAGAAAGTCTAGCTTCTCCCGGGGCACTTCCAACCGGGTGCCCAGCAGCTCGGGGACGGTCAGCAGCAGCTTCTCGGTTCGAGTGGGCGGAATATCGGCCTCCGTTTCGAGAAAGTCGATCACCGCGGCGAGGCGCGCCGGGCCTTTAAGAAGGGCCTAAAGGAAGAAAAACGACTACGATTCTTGTAAGTTTAGATGTACTATACTGTGAGATTATGTTGGCATGCTTGCTCCGTGAATCTGACTCTGTGAGACCTCTATTCCAACTCAGTAAATGATTATGTATGTGCCCCCCTTTCCAATTTTACAACGAGCAAATCACTCTATTCTCTTCTCCGGCCCTTCTAGAAGGCCCCGCACGCCTCGAAACGAAGGCGAACCATCTAAACCAACGTCATCTCACTTTGCATTACTTCATTCCAACTTACTGACAAATCACACTCGTTTCTTTTTCTCCAGGCCCCTCTTAAAGGCCGGGCGCCCTCGCCGCGGTGATTGACTTAATTCGCCAGATGGGAGTGAGGTATTGCTGGGTCAAGTAGCGCTCCTAACCAGAACATGTGAGTTTAGTGTAGCGGGCCTGTCCGGCAAATTCCCTCAACATTTGTCGATCCGCCAAGAAGATTGGACGGACGGAAGATCGTCAACGCAATGAAAGGGGTCAAACAAGGGGGATGATAATGAGACTATGACGATGATAAAAGAAGAAGTAAGGAGCAATAAGATGCTGGAAAAGAGGAGAGAATCGGGATGCACGGCGTTGCGGCGGGCTCACCTGTGGGCACTTTGTGACAACTAGACCGATGTGGGCTCGCTTGTGCTGAACGCCGACGTTCAGAAGCAACTGGAGGGACGGTCGTAGGAGCCTGCAAAGAGAACCAGCGAACAAACTCAACAGTCAAACTCAACAGTCAGTCAGTTGCATTCCTGTGTTAATACTGTTCCGTTCGTGCTTCCTGGGTCGACGTGGAGAGCCGGTAGTCGTACGCCCTACGGTGCAACGGCATGAGCCGCGCAAAGATGAGCACAATCCAACTTGTCTACAAAAACGTTAAGTGCAGAGAGCAACGGGAGGCACGCCACGATCGGGTAGGTGAAGAGCAGAGCTTGCATCTTCTCAATGAGAGAGGAAGGACCAAGATGAAGGATCTAATTCACAATTCAGTGGGTCAGCGAAGGACCCAGTATCCGATGATTCGAAAGCGGATCACAGCTTATCTCAAAATGTGCCCATTCACTTGCTTGGCCTGAGCTTTCCATGAGCGGAATTACTGCAACTAGGTGTTCATGCCTGTGGTCAAACCAAGTCGACATATGAAACAAGAAAAGGCACATAAGATCTGCGCTTAATGAAAAGGCGCAGCTGCCGCGGAAAGAACACTGCATATTCGTCAAGATTTAAAGAAGGACTCATGAGACCTGGAAAGACTCACCCATTGATGTCGCAGAAGAGGATATGCGGCAACCCCGCGACGACCTTCCCAACCGTATCTATGGCCACAAGCGCCTCGCGATAGAGGAAATCGACGGTCGGGATGGCAGCAACGTACGCCGTCTCGCTGAGCACGTACGGCCACCGTCCGATCATGCGCGCCAGGTCAGACCAGCTAATGCGCAGGATCGACTGCAAGACAAACGGGGTGGCAGAACATTAGGTACTTGACGTGGTTAAAAACCAAACCCTCATTGGTGAAGTTGTGAGTTTCTACTCTTGGCCCAGGTCTTTGAGTAAGAGAAGATTGAGATAGACGAAACCGCAGGCATTCAGGCAAAACGCAAACTAAGGCGTTCGAATGCTCCCTTTTGATGCTGTAAAGGAGGTAACTTCAGCTTTTCACCGAGATCTTCGGAAGGAGCGAGGAGTTTGAAAGCAGGTATCAGAACAGCTGATGCAAACAAACAATGTAGTTTGGACAGTTTTGACGTCTTTAGCGTTTGAACTTGAAGACCATGGGGGGTCCGAAAGCACGGAAGTGAGAGACTGAGGCTTTGCATATTTACCCTATTCGGAACGTACTAGAAAAGGCACGGGATTGCAGCGCCACAAAAGCTGCAACCTCGAAAACAGACGAACTTGAGAAATAAAGACCAAGTGCATTGGTCCAGCACGGACTGAACGCACGTCAACCCTGCCTTCAACCAGGTCCGACATCTCACTCTTCGACTTATCGTCCGGATGCAACCCTACAACAGATCCACCAGCACAAACCTGCATTGAACCTCTTCGCTTAAGTTCGCCTCTTTTATGCCAAGAAGCGTCTGAATTCAAGAATGGGCCTGTACAACCTTATGTTCGTAGTGAGGATTCGCGAGCAATCCACACCATTTCAAATCTCAACCCACCTTGAGATCCCGCATGCGCGGCTTCAACTCCGTTTCCACGTCGAGCGCAAATGCCGGCGGGAACAGCAGCAGCGCGTTTGCGGCCTCTGCTGACGTCATCCCGACCTCCCGTTCCATATACTCCGCCACCCTCTCGAAGTTCTTCGTTTCCAGGCTGGGAAAGAGCAGCTCCGGGAAAGAGGAGACGACCAGGCTAGCGCCCCAGGGGGATCCCCGAGCTCCAGGGTTCGGGTTTGGGGTAACGAGGGTTGCTTCTCGGGTCACGGAATTTGGGTCTGGGTTAACGGGGGTGTTGGCGGATTGACCGAGGCCCCTCGAAGATGGGTTAGCGGAGGTTAGCGGTTGGTCAGAAGGCGGTTCAGCTGTGGTTGACAAACAACTGGAGGGGTTGGAGGCGGCTGATTCCGACTCCGTAACTAGGTTCGTGGAGGGGTTTGCGACAGGGTTACCGTCATATCGTGCTGGGTTAGCGGAGCTAACCCCGTCGTCTGTACCACTACTTAAATCGGCCAATTGGCTGGGACTAGGAGGGGAGTTTTGTTGAACTTTGGAGGGGCTTCCTTTCAACGCCTCAATAGCAGCGCTGCTGGCACTAGACCCTAGTCCTACATGCGCGCTGGCCGACTGTGCTTGGCTAAGATCGCTAAGGCTGTCAATCTCCCCTGCTTCTGACAAACCGTCAACCTCTGAATCAACACCCCCGTGTGATGCTTGGGCCGATGGGTAATCAACTCGCTGACTCTCCACTTCGTCGGACCCTCTTCTAAAACCACCGTCGAGACTGGAGCTAGGATTAGAAACGGGGCTGGACTTCGCCGCCCTGATCTCCCATTCCCGCACCGCCGCGACCGCCGCCTCTAGATACCGCACGTTGCGCTCGATGTCGTCATCCTCCCGCATCCTGCTCAGCGTCTCGTCGCGCCCCCTGACGAGAATCCGCTCCGCAGCCCCGAGCCCGTCCGCGCACCCGAACAACCGCTCGAAAACTCGCACCCTGGTTATGATCTCCGTTATTGGCAGAACGGCCCGCCCCTTCGGGCCCCGTGAGCGCTTCAACACGCGCAAGATCCGTTTGATCTCGTGGGGGGGAATGCCGAGGCTCTCAAAGAAGGGGGGTAGCGAGCCCCCCCCGCGGCTCTCGTCAGCACACCACCGAAGCTTCCAGCAATAGGCGGCTGTGTCTTGGTCACTACTCTCTGTCGTCGACTCTGCTTCCGATCCTTCTACGGCCATCCCGTTCTCCTCTCCGATCTGAGGAGATGAATCAGATGCAAATGAACCAGATGCCTCCGATCCGCTCACATCAGAAATGTTACCAAAGCCAATGTCCGCGCTTGCACCTCTATAACTTGATTCTCCCATAGACTCACTACTTTCCGCTCCTTCCGAACCGCGCCCCTTTGCCAGATTCCCATGAGGCCCCTCTCCCAATTGGTCCAAAGCGCTTTCAAAGCTCTGTCTCTCCTCGTCCGCGCCAGCCCCTTCGGTCCCATTCACACCCCCAGCCTCGTCCCCGTTCACACCTCCCGCATTGGTCCCATCGACAGCGCCCGTCGTCAAACCGTCCTCATTCTCAAACCCAATCCGAGACTCCGTCTGGTTCGTTCCCCCGCTGACACTTCTGTCTTTCTGTAGCCCCTCTCCCCCAGCTGTGGATTCGCCCCCCTCTTTTCCCCCATCAATTTCCAGCTCCCCCTCACCCCCGTTCTCCACAGCCGCTTGTTCTTTCTCCCACTCTGCCAGCCGATACGGCTCTCCCCGGGTCGGCCCGATCCCCAAAAGCTCCTCCAATTCGCTCTGCTCCTCCGCTCGTCTCCTCACCCCCCGCAGCTTCCACTCCCGCTTTCTCCTAGATCGGGGGGATGCCTCTACCCCCCCGGGGCCCCCCCCGGCGGCCTTCTTCCCTTTGCTTACCTTCTCCCGCTTCTCTTGGGGGGAAGGCTCTGGCACCCCAGACAACTGATACGCGCTTGCAAAAGCGGATGTCAGCTTCGATCCCCCCCGTCCAGAAACGCTAGCCTCCTCCTCGTTCTCTACACTCTTCCCCGCCTCTTCGAGCGGCATGTTTCGACCCGCGCTTTCTACCCCCCCATCGAGAAGCCCCAAGTCCGCCCAGATGTCGGGGGGCCCATCCATTTCGGACACCTTCTCTACTAAACTTCGGCAGTACTGCGGGGCAGCTGCGGCGATATGGATCGCTTCGGACGCCTCCACCCCTTCGCTCTGTAGCTGTACGGCGACGACCTGCGCCGCCTGCTGCAGCCTCCACTCATAAGACCTCCCCTCGTATGCATAAGGCGTCCCCTCATCTGCATAAGGGGTCCCCGGACCTGGTGGAGTTTCCGCTGCCGCCGAAGGCTCGGACGAAGAAGCAGGCAAGGTAGTATCTTGACTGTCAAAGTGTTGGGGAGTAGTAAAAGATAGGGGCACCGCTGCAGCGTCAACTGAACTGTCAGTTTTAGGGTTTCCTCCAGTTGGCACCCTTTGACCATCAGCCCCATCGGAAGACTTGCCGAAAACTGCATCCCGAAGTGTGTCTCCTTCACCATTACCTATGGAGATTGAGTTTGCACCACCATTCTGTTCCCTCTCTTGTTCCTTTCCCCCTGAGGCATTGTCAGAAGTTCTGGAAGACCGACAAGAAACAAGAGCCCTCCGCTTGGCAGCACTTCTTGCATTTGGCCAGCACCACCATACATTGCTGTCACAAGCCACGGCTCTTCTTATTCTTCTTCCAGCAATTCCTCCCCCTTCCGATGTCAATTGGCAGCACTCTTGATTCTGTCCTGCAAGGTAGACACCGCATAGAACCCCCTGGGCTGTCTTGAAAGGGGAAAGAGAAGGCAAGGCGTATGGCTGAAGCACGGATGCCCGACGCAGAGGTGTTTCGCCAGCAAACGTCCGACAGCCCTGAGATGCAGCATATTCATAGGGAACGCAGCATGGGGCTATCCGGACAGAAGCAGCCATCTCTTTCTGCGTTTGCTTCCTACTCTAGCGCCATTCGGAATCAAAGGGACTTGAACTTCGTTCTCACTTCATCATGCGGTGTCGCATCCTTGCATCCTTGGCCCTCCAGGCTCTCCACCGTCACGCATGTTTGGCAGCTCGAGGCTAATCGAATTTCTAACCCACCGCCGGGTTCCGAAGCCGGCTGCCGTCTCAACTGCCGGCGCCAATCCCTATAGAGTTGTATTATGTACTGGGATTGCGCTGGAATATCAAATTGGGCCTTGGCCCAGAGAATGACGGATCTGCCGTTGAAAACAAGGTTAAAGATCCTGGTTATGAAGTGAACCTCGGGTTTTCCCGGTTCCGTTCTGCGACCTGCGGCTGCTCTGACACGGCACTCCCTCTCGATCTCGCTGAGGCTTTGCAAAGATGTGAGGCCAGATCCCCAATGAGCTCCATCGCAAGAAGCGGTTGCATGGGGAGTCAGCAGAGCTGGAGGGAGCAGGGGCCAGCATTTGGCATTGCTGTTGGCATTGCTTGCTTCTAGAACTGCAGACTTCCTAGCAGCTGCAGTGGGAAAGGGGACGTTGCAAGCTGACCAATTATGGCAGCGGCAAGCAAGGAGGAGGTTCAGTCGCAGCGATCAAACGCTGGATACTTGCAGCGGCAATGGAGCAAGCTATCACCCTTCCAGTTGGTTCTCATCTGCATATTGACTGCGCTCATAACCTCCGGGAACGTGAGCTGGACAGACATCTCGTATTGCATTGCTAGCACCGCTTACTTTGTCTTCTTTGCGGTCAAGGTGTTCCCTCCACTTTTGAAAGCTGGATCACCCACTCCAGTCGATCAAGCTGCGCTTCTCTTTAAGAACAACGAGTTGTTCAAGCTGTACATGACGGTAGCCGCTTTCCTTGGCTTATTCGTTCCTTGCATCTTCATTCTCGCCGCAGCGTTCTTTGGATTTGAGGAAGGCGTAAGATCAACGATTCCGCACGTGTTCCTTCTGGTCGCTCAGATCATCTCCGAAACTGGTTGTGCGGATGTTGCTGTTTCGGACCCGATTAGAGTGCTCGTTCCTGCGAGCTATAATACCAGGCGACTCGTCACATTGGTGCATTGGACCAAAGTTGCGACTAGCCGACAAGTGGGATCTGATATAACGCTCCTGTGGCAAGTATTTGAGGCAATCTTGGCCGTCACCAACCTAGCCTTCTGGACATACAATCTGCTAGGTTTCCTCCTGCCAGTATACCTCCCGTTACAGCTCCGCTTCTATTTCAAGCAAGAAGCGGAGCTGAAGAGGGCCTCCGCAAAGGGTGCGGAATAAGCTCAAGCGGAACTGTATTCGCTTTGCTTCACGCTCTCCGCTAAGAGATGAACCAGAGGCATGACAGATCTATATACGTCACTACGGAAAAGAGTTGTTAGAACCTCTCTTTCCAGAAAGCTAGGCTCTCGATTGACCTATGTTTGGAGTAAAAGCATAACAGCCTTGTGTTTGATAAGTAGGTTATGCAGGCATTGAAACGTCAATTCGTGTTGCCAATAGTATGGCAACTTTATGTCTTGGAGCGCAACGGGTACCATGAAGTGTAGTAGACAGCAGCTGTCACGTCCACCTCTCTGTGTAATATCCGCACTCTAGCTTGCGATGGTTAGCTTACCAGTGACTGGCAAAGCAGTCATACAGGTTGTACTGATAGCGCCTTCAGATCACTACTCATAGCAGTCAATCATATTTGGAAATAGAGAATTGCTGTTCTCGGGCGCTGGTATCACTTCCGACGATACCAGTACGATCCTTTCGATCCTTTCAATCATGGTCCTGAGATTGCTCCTCACTGCAGGCTTCGATCTATGGTTCACCATTCAGCAGAGCTTGCATTGAGTCCTCTTATTTGACGCTCAAAGTGCACCGCGGCCTGGGGGCCCCACCACTTGCAACCTTCTGAGTTTCATGTTTGGAAATCCTCCTAGCGCATGCTGCATGTATGTAATGAATTAGGCATATATTATGCATGCAACAGTTTTCCACGCGCCCGACCAGACTCGCTTGCAATAGAGTGGCTTATATAGTATATTTGAATCGCCACATATATAAATTATATATATTCGCAACATGCATGCAACCCATACGTACGTGGGCGCGGCCACCGCATACGTGACCGTGACAGCTTTGTGAAGCTTCAACCCATTAACAATCTTGCGATCCGAGTCATATGGAATGTGCGACGGTGCAGTCATATATATAGCGATGGCGCACTCGTGTGATTGTAGCTCTTGCAATATAGCATATGCCATATAATATGCTTTACGTTCAAGCAAATTTTGCAGCTTTGAATTCGTGCTGCCTGCGCTTGTGCTGCAGCCATATTCCATCTGCAGCCACGTACATGACAGTGAATGATCATGACAAACTGCATACATAGTTGCCCAGGCCACATGAGAGCGAGCATGAATTCCGGAGGGCGGTCGTCTACATCTGCTTCCTAGATCGTGCAAACCAATCGCCAGAAAACCGACCCGTGCAAGCAAGCAAGGAGGTGAGAAAAAGCACAAAACTTTCCACGTGGATGATAACATGGCCAAACATGACCGTCCACATGCTTAAAAGTATAATGTACATTTTACTATTTACGAGCTACCATTACCTCCCTTGACCATGTACTTTCAGCAACCATCAAACTTCTCGCCACTGACCAATGTACGAATTGGGACACCTACTTATTGTCTGATGCTGTACACACCTACCCGTCACTCTTTCTGTAGGCGCTGACGCTCGATTTCAAGCCAACCAGGTAGCGGAGAGGACTTGGCTGCAAGAATGCAATTCCAAAGGCGTCAGTCCTCCCATTCTGGACCAAAGAGAGACCTTACCCGCCAAATTCAATAACTGATTTTCTAAAAGTAAACCCGAACAGCTTGCTATCCCTCAATTCCGTCTGATCTGCAAGTAGGCTTCACCTTCAAAGTCCTTTATGTCTAAGCAACAATTTAGCAACTTGGGTACCTACTTCAGGGAACCAGACAAATAAACCTTTCATTTCTGAGCAATCGCTAAGCATACGGCTGATCCATGAGACCAGCTAAGCGCCAACTGATGAATACGCATGGGTAAAATCACAGCAGCATAAACCCCATTGGGCACATGCAAAAAGCTCACGCCTCACATTTGGCAAGCAGATACGATCCAAAGCGATGCAGCACTCACGTTTTTCCTGCTCCATGTTTGGGACCGTTCGTTGTTCGGCGTCCGCCCCCGACGCCGTTCGTTGTAGAAAAAATGCGGCGGGCACTCCCACAAAACTCCTCTTAGTGGAGTCGGCCACGTCATGATGCTGAGGATTGGTTTGGCCCTCCGGGTCGGGTAGGAGCTTGCTCCCCTCCATGAGCATCTTGTTGACACCCTCCGCATACGACCTGAGGTCGAGAAGCCCACGAGCGGGCGTTAGTGTCAAGTAGCCTGATGTTTTAAAAGTTGACGTTCACTAGGGTTCACTGAGAGAACACCCCAGACACAGGCAAAGCTGGTCATCTCTACGACCCATTTACTTGATCCAATTTTCGCTTGTCAAGAAGAAGCGCTTGAAACAGCTTCTTAGTGTCAATCGTGTTCAAAATAGTTCGAGGTGTCGGCCAGGAGTAAGAATGACATCTGGACATTACAAACTTCCCACCTTCTAAGAAACACGGTAGATCTTCCGACCCACCCATCGTTGCGTTACCTGGGAGACCCCACTCAAGAGCGTTGCGTTTCCTGGAATGAACGACGAGCCCCCCTTCACCGGGTTTTTCTGTCCGCTCAAGGCTTAGGTACTCTTTGGGAGTTGAAGAGCTCACCGAATGGCGGGTGACGTCATGTTCTCGTTCTTCCCGAGCAGCCGCCGGAGCGTGTCCGCCGACTTGATGAGGTCGACGTTGTCACGCCGCAAAAAGCTGTGGGTTTGAGGCGGGTCCTTCGATACACCTGAAGGTCAGAAGCGATACGCTCTTTAGTGCGCGTTTTATGCGCAAGGGGCTGAATTTCAGACGCTAGTCTAAAGAAACGGCTTTACCGCAAGTGGCTCTTTGGATTTGCAAGATTATCGAAGCCCCCGGTTGAAGAGGGAGGCCATCGTCGTATTCTCGCCTTCCAAAATAATTTCTGGCCGGTCAGAGACAGGTGGCAGATCTGAAATTTTTCCAGGAGCAGAGGAAGTAACCACAAAATACGCCTCGGCATGTCATGCTTTCTTTGCCTCGTCTGCGGTAAAAGTATGGGCAAACTGCATTGTTACTTGGTTACGGGCTGAGAAAAACTTGATAGGGAGCGAAGAGCCATTTACAACGGCGCATAGCCAGTCGCCACTGCACTCCCGTGTGTCCTGAGGCAAACGGGATTGAAGTTGTAAGAGGAGGGAGAGCTGCGGAAAACACAGCAAGGCAGCAATTCTCACCTCCCATGACCAGCCCCTGCGCTCGCGACTCCATCAGCTCCTTCTCCGAGAACAGCGGTTGGTCCTGCACCGAGGGGCTCAGCACGCGCAGCTCCAAAAACCCGGGGCTCTCCCTCCGGGCAACGCTCCCGCCCTTCCCGAGAAAACCCGTCCGCGCGTCAACGTCTCCCCCCCCGGCGGGGGTCATCGCCTCCTGGCGCTGGCCCAAGAGGTTCGGCCACGGACGCTCCGGATTGAGCAGCCCGTCCAAATCCTTCTTGTTCTTCCACACGTCCGGCTGCGGACCGTTGAAGAGCGGGGGCCCCGACACCCCCGTCTGGTCCCGGGGGCTGAAACGAGGCGGCGCGTAGGGCTTATTCGAGAAGGAATCGCGGCGGCCCTCGAGCTGGGGGGGGAGCCACGTGGGCAGTTCCCAGTCGCGCGAGAGGAGCTCCTTCTCAGTGAGGTTGGTCCACGTGGGCGCAACTAGGGGGGGGAGGGAGAGGGAGGACGGCGTGGGGGAGGAGCGGTTTGAGAGGGGGACGGCCAGGTTGAGGTCGAGAGTCTTGTCGAGGAGAGGGCGGTCGTGGGAGTCGTGTCTGCAGTAAGAAGAGCGGTTGGTCTGAGAATTGGCACAGGCGAGCAGCGAGGAGTTTGTGAAAAAATGCACAATTGAGAGATTTCGCGCAGGATTTGAGAGCAGAGCGAACAGTGCTGATCAGCTTGCGACGGCATGCTCCGAGCAGCTAACCTCGAGAAGTCAAGAGGATTTCGAGAAACCGCAACAGACACAGTCGATTCCTCGCACCACCATTATACCCAGGTAGCGAGCGAAGCAGGAAGTGACGGCACACATAGCGGTGAAAGTGATGCGCACCATCGTGCAACCTAAGTGCTGCACCCCCGACCCAGGCAACTGTGACAAGAAGCGATCTACGAAACATGCCAACCATCCGTGCCAAATATCGTCTGCCATTCTAAGCAAAAAATTTGGGCAGTGTAAAAAAGTCATGGCAACTTACGAGGACGCTCTTGCAACCCCCGCTGGCAGGCCCCGCCCATCCATCCCGCCTCTCAGGAACTGCGCCAGGCCGGTCTTGACGGCCGGCAGATCCGGCTGTCCATGACTCGCACTCCTACCCCACAGCCCCTCACTCTCGCGCCCCAGATCCACTGCCCGGGGCTCTCCCCCGAGCACATCCTTCTCCCCGGGGTGGTGCATCGGCAGCCATTTCCCGTTCTTGACGACCCCCTTGTCGCGGAAGAACGCGCCGAGCTCCCGGGATTCTCGTCCCAGGGGGGGCGTGCTAGAGTTGCGCAAACCCCCCTCGCGGAGGGCTTGCATGAAGGGTGCGGGGCTAGGGGTGGCGCCGCGGGAAGGGCCCCCGAGAGAGAGCCCCGTGTTGAGGTCGAAGCGTTCTTGAGTCTCGGGGGCGGGAACGCGGCCAGTGTCGAGCGCTGACTTCAGCGCAAGGTAAGCGGCGCTGAGCTCCTCGCGGTTGAGCTTGGACTGCAGGATCGCGTGCTCGAACTCCTCTTCTTCCGTGAGGACGGTGTACGAGGGGCGCACCGACGACGCGCGTCCGAGGTCGTCGGCCCCGCGTCCGAAAGCGTCCGAAGAGCGCCCGAAAGCGTCCGAAGCCGCGCGGGAAGACTTTTTCCGGGACCACGCCTTCTCGGCAAAGTCTCCGAGGCCGAGCTTCTCGAGAAACTCGTTCATGGAGGACGACACGTGGCGCGAGCGCGGTTGGGACGGAGAGCCGAGCCGGACAGAGGGGACGTCCGCAGAGGGAACGGCGTCCGCAAACAGGGGCAGTTCTTGGGACGGTGTGAGGGGGGTGGCTGGGCGAGCAGACTGCGAGAGAGACGAGGAATGACAGGTTTCAGCTTTTAGGGTCCATTATTTGACAACGAAAGATGCTATTCTTGAGCTTGAGATGCTCAACCAGGTTCAGAGCGTCGTAGAATGATGCAATAAAGAGAATTTGAGCCGTTGATCAGTTGGCAAGATTTGACAGCGCACACTTCAAGGCAAATAAAAAGCTCAACCTTCAAACTCGCCCTCCAAAAAAGCAACAGCAGCAACACATGAGCAAAATGCTAATCCGCAAGCTCTGGCCCCAGATCCTCTCAAGCCATACCATGATTTGCAAGCTATCTCTGTGTCTTGGTAGATATCACGCTCCGACAAGAAAAACGCCCACAAAGCATACTTTGCATACCTTGTCCTTGTTGCGCTTGGACTTCGACTTGCTCCGGGGGGGCTTGCCTTCGGCCTTCTCCACCCCCACCACAGCAAGCTTTTCCTCGAGCTCCCGCAGCCCCTCCCCAGCCTCCTTTCTCCGCTTCTTGCGCGCCGCCCGCTCTTCCTTCTTTAGCTTCCGCCTCCGCGCCTCCTGTTCTTGCTCCTCATTAATCTGCTGCAACATCGCCACCGACTCCTGCACCGCGCGCTGGATCTCTTCCTCCAAATTGACGTGGTTCGGCCGCTCCTGGGTGATCTCCGTGTAACCCCCCACGCGCCGCCCGATCGGCACGTCCTCCGATTCCGACCCGCTGTTGGCCTCCGTCAGCGAGCCCGGGTCGCTCGCGTTCGACCCCCCGTTTGCGGGAAGCGCCAAAATACCATCGCCCAGCTTCACGGTGCGCAAACCCTCCTCCTTCCGGCGCCGTTTCCGCGGCTTTTTCAGCTCCTCGACGGGATCCCGAGGGAGCGGCTCGGGCACCAACCCCTTGACCGGTTTCTTCGCCGGCGTCTTCCTCTCCGGCGCTTTCTTTTCGGGCGCCTTCTTCTCCGGCGACCGCATCTTGGACAGGAGCCCGATCGGCGCATCCTCGTCGCCGGAATCACTCTCCGGTCGCCCCAGCAGCGACTTCTCCAGCCCGCCGCTTTTGGGCGCCTTCTTCGGGCCCTTGCGCACGCCCTTCAGAGCGTCCACCACCTTCTGCGCGCTGACTTCCGGCACGAACGGCCGGAATCCGCCGAACTCCGCCGGCCGGAGCAGCGCCGGCTGCCACGGCCGCTTCATCCCGAGCCCGAATCCGCTCTTGCCCTCGTCAGGGGGGCTCCCCGACCTGCTCTCGTCGGCGAGCGCGCTCTTTTTCTTCCGCTTCTTTCCTTCACCGTCCGGATCCTCGCGCCGCTTCCTCTTCTTCTTTTCCTTCTCCACACCGTCCGTCCCTTTCTTCGCTATTTCGCCCTTCCCGATCAGTCCTGGCGCCACCAATCCCGTCACCGGAAGCCCAATCAGCAGGTTCAGCTTTGCCAGTTTCGGCACCTCACCTACCCCCGTCAACGCCTTGAACTTCTTCCCAAGCGCCGGCTCCGCCTTTCCGCCCAGTTCCGGCCTCTTGAACGGAACATCCCCCAACAAGCCCGCCCCCAGGACCGACTTCTTCTTGCTCACTTTGAGCGCCGATAGTGGCAGCTGCTCCATCTCCTCATCCGACAGTTCCGCTGGCCCCTTTCCTCCAGGGACCTCTTCCATCACCGGAATAGAAAACGGCAGAGGGGGGGACATTCCCCCTGGGGCGGTTACCACGGGGCTAACGGTAATCCCCCCATGAGACGGACGCTTGCTGGGAGGAACCCGGAAAGCCCCGGCCAGAGGCTCGTCGCTGCTGTAAGACTCCCCGTCAGAGTGCGCCTCCTTTTGTTCCGTCGTAACGTCCTTTTCTTTCTTGCTCTTTGATGCATCGGCCGCCGGCGCCGCCGCGCCCGCCGCAGGGCTTGCCACTCTAGGACCCCCGAACAGAGTGCCCTCTTTGAGTCTCTTGATCCAGCCAGCCAACGGGTTGGTCGGCTTTGCTGGCTCCACGGGCTTGCTCGGCGCGCTCTCTTTTTCCTTACTCGGCAGAGCTTCGTCTTGAGCGACCACCTCCGTGAGGGGTTTCTGGCGCTGCTTTTTCTCCCCCCCCTTCTTCTCCCGCTTCCCATCCAACCCCCTCTCGCGAATCCTCGGCCGCCAGACCTCTTCCTCGTCGCTCGAGTCTCTGAGCTTCCGCGTAACTCGCCGCTCCTCCTTCGTGCGAGTCTCGGGTCGCCGCGGCTTGTCTTCCTCGCTCTTATCCCCCCCAGAGGATTGCCCAGGGGATCGTCTGCGCCTCCCTCTTCCTAAGGACAGTCCACGCTGGTCCCTGCCAGAGGGATCCCCCCGCTTTGTCCCTCCAGAAGAGAGCCCAAGCTCCGCCCCTTTCTCGCCCCTTCCGGCCCCCACCCCCAATGACGTCAGCAGCTGCCGCTCCTCGCGCCCAATCTTCTCTGCACCGGACGAGAACGCGTCGTCGTCCGAGACCGTCCGCTCCCGATCGTCTTCCTCCAATTCCTCCGCCTCTAGTTCCCCCAGCACGCCCGTTTTCCCCACGAGGACCTTGGCCGCCGCCAGCGTGCTCTCGTCGTCGTTCTTCTCGGGGGGCACGTTCATCGACGGCGCGCCCGTGGGGCTGCTCTTCACTCGCGAGCGTTTCCTGCGATGCCGCTCGGGGCGGGCAGGCGCGTTATCCGCGGCGTGTCTGAGCACCATAAGCCCCGCGACGGCGTCCTCTTCGAAGCTGTCCATCCCTTTGCCCTTCTGCCCCTGCGGAGACGCGGGGCCCCCGCCCCCCCCGGCCGTCCGCTTTAGCCGTTCCACGATGCGCTTGCTGTTCTTCTCGCGCTCCTCCTCCCCGAGCGACTCGCTCGACACGATCCTACGCGACTTCTTGCTGACGATCGCGGCGAGCGACTGGAGCCGATCTTTTGGCCGCAGCGACATCGGCAGCTTGGCACGGCCCATGAACACGCCGTCAGACCTCTTCTCCGCGGAGAGCCTCGCGCGGCGCAGCGACCCGTTCTCGTCCGAAGAGCCGCCGTCGGCGTTCGCGTCGCCTTCGCTAGCTTTTTCTTCCAAACGGCGGAGGAGGCGGGCGGAGCGGGGCGCGGCTGAAGGGGGCCGCGGGGAAGGCTTCTCGAGATCCTGTACATGAGTTTCGGGGTTAGGGAGACCTGCTTTAGAACTCAGTCGAGCGCCTTGCTGCTTGTAAAACGCAGTCACATCTGCTTTGAACGCCCTTGACCAAAACATGACTCTGATTCGTTCTCATCCTACCATTAATGAGGGCGAAGCCGTTTGATTGCCAGGAAGAACCATACGAAGGGAAACAGATGACCAGGCCAAGGGGATACTGGGATAAAATGCTGACGCACCAAAGCGGCATTCTTTGTCTACGACCCTTTCAGATGCACCCTGCAAGGGTCCAATCTACTCTGAGACTAGGTTTACAACCACTTATACTGGGAACAAAAGCGTCAATATCGAAGCCCTCCCTGAGATCATCAGCAAACAGCTCCAACAATCGGGCCTCCAAATCTTCAAATCTCAAAGCTTCACAGAAGGAACCACAAACAGAAGTTCCCCCAGGGCACCCAGAAAAGCTTACCGTGTAGTAGTAAGTGGCTTTGTGGGAGCCCTTGTGGCCACCCAGCGCTTGTCCGGTTGGAAAGACCAGCCCGCAGATCTCGCAGGGCCAGCCAAGCGGGACGAACTCTTCAACCGGGCGCTCTTTGACCGGGGGGGACTTGGGGCTCTTCTTCTCCTTTTGGAAGGGGCCCCGAGTGCCCTTCTTGGTGTTGGCACGCTTCTCCTCCTCCTATGAAGGAAACAAAGTAAACAGGGGTTCGAAATCTGGCCATCTCAAGAGGGTAGAGGCCAATCCGTGAAGCTTGGTCAAAACGGTTATGCCCTTCAACGTTCATTTGAAAGTTTAGTTTGTTACGGATGTTGAGAGAGAGCCGACGCTTTTTCGATCGAGCAGAGCTTAGCAGAGCGCTGGTAATGATTTCACAGTAAGGACTCTGAACCCAGCTGTCAATGTCCAAAACCTTTCCAGAAGAAGCTCTAAGTTCAAGAGGAACTAAGAATGTCTTAACCAAGATAAGAAGAGATTGGTTCCACACAGCCTAGAAGCATTGCCAACAACGTGAGGCAACAGCAAGGGCCGTCCTAGATTACGGGGCCGTTTGTCTGCTGCCTCACCGTGTATGCATCGGTAGGTTTGTGCGAGCCCTTATGCCCCCCCAGTGCCTGCCCGTTCGCAAAAACCAGCCCGCAGATGTCGCACGTAAAGCCCACTGCGCTGACCTCAGGGACCGCCGCACCCTGCGGCTTTGCAGTAAGACTTTCCACAGCTTTGTGCGAGCTCTTGTGGCCCCCGAGCTTCTGCCCGTTGGGAAAGACCAGCCCGCAGAGGTCGCACTCGTAGCCCCGGGGAGCGGGGGGGGGTTCGGGGTCGCTCGGCGGCGGCTGTCTCACCGGGAATGCGTCGGTCAGTTTGTGGGAACCCTTGTGACCGCCAAGAGCCTGCCCGTTTCCAAAGACCATGCCACAGATGTCGCACTTGAAGCCACCCTTGGTCTTGGTCGCCGGCTTCTCAGCCTGCAGGAGGTACAGCTATGGTCAGAAGGAGGAACAAGCCTGTCTGAGGTTGTCTTTGACGAGTCAACAGAAAAGCGTCACACATTCAAGCCACAAGAAGGTGGCAGGGACAATCGTAATCGTACAGTCTGAAATCGGGCAAAAGAGGAATTTTTTCGCAAGGGATGAAGGAGGCAGCAGTGACAGGTAGCCTGCCCCTGCGTTTCAAGGGAAACGCTCAAAATGTGGTCTCAATGGGTTTGCGCACGCAGGTAAGCACACGAGGGACTCGACTTGTCAAGCGAGCGGACACTCGAAACCAGTCAAAGCAGACTTGTGACGCCTTCAAATGGGTGCAAGGAACCCATGTACATTCAGTGTCAGTCTAGACTGCCAGCGAATTCACTATGAAAGGAGTAGATAAAGCATTTAGCACTGATCAGACGAAGCAACGAAGCTAATCTCGCAGCTTTTGCATGGATTGCGCTGAGCAAGGGCACCCAGTGCTCCCAATCACGAACCACCAGTCTCGACGTTCATGAGACTGCCAACCACAAATCAGAGGTGGCCCCTCACCTTCGCCCTCTGGGGAGCTTCCTCTTCTTCAAAGAACCGGGTGACCGGAACCCTCTCCCTCTTTCCGAGCCCCCTGGTAGCTATTTTGTCTGCCCCCGTTCCATCATCAGCACTGTTGGGTGTTGCTCCGCTGCCACCTTCCTTATCGCCCCCCCAGTCCTGCGGCTTTGATTCCAGCCGGCTGCCGAATCCAGAGTCCCTCTCTGGCCCCGTTACCTCCAAACCGACCTCCACTTCCTCCCCCATCTTCTCCAACCCACTATCCTCCCCCCTATCATCAAGCACCGCTTTCTCTTTACTCCCCTCCTGAGCCTTTTCTTCCGTATCAACTTTTCCTTCCTCTGGCTCCAGCCTGAGCACCAACTTGGAGCCCTCTTCCTCTTTACTCGCAACATCAGGCTCTGCGAGCACGTTGGCTTCAGCCCCCTCCTCAGCAGCTGGTGTCTTTTCCGGGGTAAGAGAAGACACCGGTTCGGCAACTTCCGTGCTCGGGGGAGGAGCAACGGGAGCTTCCTCTTGGACCTTCTCGGTCGCAATCAATTCCTCTTTCAAAGGCTCCTGATCAACAGTCACTACCGGTGCCTCCTCTGACTCAGCAGCCTTCGCCTCTGCTTCGGCCACGGGGGCAGCATAGGTCTCTGCCAATCCAATGAGGGGGCCCGCTTCTTTCACGTCCACTGCCACCCCCTCTCCAGAAGGAGCCTCTTCCAGCTGCTCAACTCTCAAGCACTCCTCTCCTCCGCTCTTCTTTTCCCCTTCTTCTGAGGCAGCGCCAGCTGTCTCATCCTCAGCGCCAGCTGTCACAGCCTGAGGGAGCCCCTGCTTGTCTTTCCCCGGCTCATCCGCATCCATCACAGGGGGTTGCTCCTCCTCTGGCTTCTCCTCGCGCGGTAACTCGGGTTCGACTACCAACTCCAGAGTCCCAACCTCTGCTGTCTTCGAGCGCGAAAAGAGCCCGCTCAGGGCCGCCTGAACAAAAGACTTCCTTTCCGCTGGGGCCTCTGCTGGAGGCTGGTCTTCCTGCTCCGCAGCGGCCACGCCATTCTGCACTGGTCCCTTTACCTCTTCCTCAGCCCCGGGCGCCTCTTCCCTATCACTCTCGGTAGCCTCAGAGCTCCGCGCCTCATTCGCGTCTCCCTCGCCGCTCCCAGGAGTTGCATCCTCTGCCCCTTTCTCCACCTCTTCGTCCACTTTCTCGTCGCCCCTCAGCTGTGGCTCCATCTTCTGCTGCGCCCCCTCCTCTTCCTTGGTCCCCTCGGTGTCTGCACCGGCAGTCCCCAGCACCTTCGAGTTGCGCAGCGTCCGAACGGCTTCAAATGCAGCTCTGACACCCCCCTTCTTGGCTGCAGAAACCTGCACAGCTTTTACCGGCTCTGCACTCTTCTTCGGCCCCTTTCCGGATGATTTCACCCCCTTAAAACCCTCTCCCTTGTTTGCCAACCCTGCCTTGGAGCTACCTGGCTTTGCCTGGACCTCACCAGCTTTACCTGGCCAGCGCCCCTTCGCCTCTCCCTTCTCCCCTTTCAACCTCTTCGCTTCTTTTCCTCCATCCCCCGCTTCAGAAGCTTTTCTCTTGGGACCAGGCTTCTCGCTGGAAGTGCCCTTAGGAGAAGATGTCCCTTTCGCTCCACTCCCCTCTTCAGCAGCTGCCTTTCTCTTGATCCCAGGCTTCTCAACAGAACTGCCCTTGGGGGAGGACTTCTCTTTTGCTAGCTGGAGAGAAAGGGGCTTCCGTCCAGGCTTCCCCTTCACTCCCTTGCTCGTCTTCTCGTCCTCCCTTCTCGGTCTCCCAGGACCCCTCTTGTCAGCCCCAGCTTTGGGCTTCTCTGCTCCAGATGCAGGCTTCTCTGCCCCACCCTTTGGGCTCGGCTCGTCCCTCTTGGGCCTCCCAGGGCCCTTCTTCTGACCCTCGTCTTCCTTCTTAGGCCTCCCAGGCCCCCTCTTCTGCGTCTCCTCTTCCTTGCGAGGCCTTCCAGGGCCCCGCTTCTGAGATTCGTCCTCCTTTTTGGGCCGCCCCGGGCCCCGCTTCTGAAGACCAGACGCACCCTCGTCCTTCTTCTTCTTCAAGACAGGAGTTCCCCCTTTCGCCCCTCCTTTTGAAACGCTACCGCCGGTCTTCACTTTTGACTGATCGGCCCCCATCTTCAGCTTGCGCCCCAGGCGGCCTCGCTCCAAGCCCAACGCACTCTTGCCCTCCGGGCCGTGTTTTTTCCCACTCTGCTTCATCTGTGGGAAGGCGTCCTCGCCGTCCGAGATGCCTCGGAGATCGATAACTTCAAGTTTTGCCTGCAAGATGGGACAGTCATGCATGGTGTGTGCACGTTTTTCCTTCTTCATTGCTGCTGATGGAGACTTAAAAATGACTGCAGCTACCACTTTGCCTGGATTGATGTAGCGAAACTCGAATTTGCTACTGCGGTTTTGCTACTGGCCAAGAGCCAAAAGCACAAATTAGGAAGGGGACAGTTCGTAACTCGAACACAGCCGGTGTGGAAATGAGTGCAAGTATAGACATGCATGTACAACTTTGATTGGCAACGGACGTTCAGAATACTAAACCACTTGAAGGAACGCACCATCAACATCAAGCCAGTGTATGAAAGCACTGTGCTTCTTCAAAAAGTTCGAAATTGGAGACCTGAAGTGCAAAACCAGCAAGTGGGCCAACTTCAGCAAGCAATGAAGGAGTGAGGCGTTTCAATAGTCTGACTACTGTTATTAGCTCACAGTGACGTTAGATAGACCGCACAGCTGCAAATTTCTGCTGAACAAAGGCGCACAGAGCCCCCTCTTGGTGAGGAGCACCATTCGACTCACTACCATCATCAGCTTACAGTGCTACTAGATCAGAACACACGGCTACAAAAATCTGGTGAATATAGGCGCACTGAGGCCCCTCTTGTTTTCACTTCAGTGAAAAGGAGGTGCTGACTTCCTACTGTCCAGACAACCCTTGCAATGGCTTCAAAGCCCGAGCATGAACAACTTGCAAAGCTGAATAAATAGACAAGAGGACGTCTCACCCCGTTTGATGGTGTTGCCTTTGTCTCTACCACCATTGTCTGTTCCTGCGTTTCAGCTGGTGCCGAGGCATGGGCGCCTCTGCCGGAAAAGAAGGAGGGCTGATCCTGACGATTGGAGGAGGCCTTCTCAGACTCTTCCTGCAGCAGGAAAAAGTTGCATCTCACAACAGCAGCCAAACTGAAATCCATCTGCACCCTTCGATGCTCTTCTTCATGGTAAATTGAAATGCTTCAAGTATCACATAGCAGATTCTTCGCACTTTTGCCGTCAGCATGCTTCTGTACAGCTTGAAGTAGCAAAACTGCTTTTGCACTCTGCTTCAACAAGACGAACTCCGCTAAGAACTGGCACTTCCATGCGATATCAGTCTGAGAAGCAAGCTTTCGATGCAGAACAGCAGGCAGACAAGATTATGCACAGATTGTGCAAGTGCTTTGCTATGAAGGAAATGCCGTAGAGCTTTTGGAGCATTCCTTCCCAGCACAATTTCGCAGCAAAATGAACAAGGGCCCTTCTCAAAACCAAGCTTCTCCAAGCCAAAACTTCTCATCAAAAACGCGTTGACCACGATGTGCAATCAAAGCTTGAACCAGTGCTGACTGGTTAGCTCAAATGCTCAAGAGTAGCAATGGGCACTGGGACCGCACTCCCTTGCTGGGACCACTGCACCACTTCATGGTTACTTTCATGGAGGATCGGCCCAAAACCGTAAGTCCAGCACTCTATGCTGAAGAACTGCATCTCACCTGCGCAATGACGTCACCGAGCAACCTCAGTTTCTGCGGCGTGAAGATTGGATTTAATCGGCAAAGTGGACCCAAGGAGTTCCCACCAAGCGGAGCAGTGCGTTTGCTCAAACCTGTCATGCAACAAGCAAGCGGTGCCCAGGGAGCGCTGCTCTCCTAAATTACGGGGTTGACCACTCCAGTTTAGGACGCGACACGAAAGACCTAGTTTGCAGTCACTACCCTTGCACCTGCTGCTCTGACAAGCCTGCTTGCAGCTCAGATGATGAGTCGTCTGCTGCAGACGGCTCTATATGATCTGCACAATGTAAGCGTCTGACGCAACCTATCCAACCACTTAGCATCCAACTTCACAGTGAGACCCGGATGATTCTTCTGCCAAACACAGAGCCCGCGTTCTGCAAAGCACCATAAACAAGTGTAGTCAGGATGCTGACGAAAGAAGCCTACACAGAGTTGGATGGATTGGAGTTGAAAGAGCTGAGCACTTCCAACCACAATACTGGCAGCAGGCTCTGGACAAACATCTGAACCCGATTGCCTACTGTAGGCACCGAAAGTTGCTGATCTAACCGCATTTGCAAGACAACCCTTGCTGACCTGATCTGTCGACGATAGATACACCTGTTGTATGCATCGTCGTAGTAGAAGAGTTGCTTTTCTTGCTTTACCATTCTCAGGCACATCAAGAGACAAGATAATCTTGCTCCAAAGTGTTCAAACAATACCTGCTCATCTGAACAATAGTCGAGCTTCTCATATTGCATGCTATGCAGTTAAAATACCATGCATGACTTTTGTTTGCAACATAAGGCAGAAGCTACTGGAACATCCCAATACCGAACATCAGTCGCATGGCAAGCTGCAGAGATACATAAGCCCTTCGTAATCCAAAAACGTCCTTGGTACAAATAGATAGGAGGACCAACAAACGGCAAGAACGGATTTGGTAACTGGACCGTCAACATGGTCTCGAGACCGCAAAACTAGGCATCATGCGCTGCGGAGGGTTTCTCTAGAAGACACCTCACCTGTGCTAGAGTCTTCAACAAAGCTCTCCACAAATGCCAAAGCCAAACAAATACGTGAGCTTTCGGATGATGCAGCACGTACTCCGGCACGACCCTGATGGAAACGGCAGCAGTGCTCGGCCCAGGGCTCCCTTACTGATCGCCACTACTCCTTCCAGCGCTTGTCCCCATCTTCATCTGAGTGGTCCAGTCATGTTGCAATCATAATTCGCAGTCTACGGTGGACTCCGCTCTCTATGAAGACATGTTTCCAGACTCTACACCGTTGCAGAGGTGCGCCCTGTCCACGTTTTGCTGTTGGAATCAGGAAACCGCTTACCGGTCGTTCCTCCGAGCGAACTCCAGCACTTATGCGTGCCACCCCGGGCCCCCTTCCGAGACTCACGGAATATCCAGCTGTTTTGTCAACCGGGCACGAAGGCCGACACGCAGAGACGCCAGATTTTGGCGAGTAAAATATTTATTGTGCTAGCTTTCGAAAGCACGCTTATATTCAGACATTTTCTAAAATAAATATCGGCAATTCCAACGTCCAACTATTCATTCCGACAGATACCAAAAGTTCAAACCCCGCATATCATGTTGAGAAATGAGACTCACACGGTGTCACACCTTACTAGATCCAAAGAAAACACCTAACATTGGAATTTGGCCCTGTTAAATTTGATGTCTGGACTCGGGTGTCAAATGCGATGCCAGGTTGCATCCCGGCGAAACTGTGTGGCGTCATGTCTACCGTAGCACTCGGGAAACATCCCGTATCAGCTCCAATGACCAATGTGCAGGTACCGGTAGGTACGCGGTGAATGCTGCACGCAGGTTCGTACGTGTCGATCAGTGCTTTTATCCTCGGTACCTACCGATGCTACCCCGGTGAGTCGTGACTGTATAACAGAGTCTTGTACCGGTACACGATCAGGAGGTGTATGATACCTAGTCGAGACTCGCGGGGCCTGGGCAGCCGCAGCCCCGTCGGTACATGACTCTGAATTGATTTGCTCAAACCGTCTTGTTCTTAGGGTACCGTACACGGTCCGTTGTCAATGTACGTAACCCCTGATACCTACGCCGACGGTACTGTCACTGGTCAGTGGTGTGGACCTCAATATCAAGCGTACAATGTTCGGTATTGGATCTGCAGTCTGTACATCTGCAACCCCGGCGACTTTGTAACGAAGGCCGACGATTTCGGTAAAATTCTGGTGCTTCTGGCGTTCGTCAATTTAATGCCGCGCCCGACCGTGCATGCACTCTATCTAGGGGTATCCTGACACTGTGGTCGATGCCCGGGGCTAAGATTCCATCCACCCAGGTCGCACAAAACATCATCGTATGCATTATGCGAGTCCCATGCGAAAGCATTGGCGAACCGAGTTCGAACCAGCAAGTTCAGACTCGCAATGACTATCTTCGTTGCAAACCGCCGTTCTGCCATGGCGCAAAAATATCACCGGTTTCAACCGTCGGCCCGGGATATCATATTGTAGCTCCCGGGGAAGTGCCGCGAGCGCCGGCGGAATATTGCAAGAGGGTGCAATATAGAGTAATAATTGTACGGCTTTTGTGACGCGTCCCAAGAATTCAAACGTGGAGGGCGAGATCTGATTGGATCGAGCAAGATTCCCATGAATTTCATTGGCTGAGAATTCCTCGGGGTAAGGAAACTGAAATGCGTCTGCGTCGCTTGCTGTGAAGGGGCAGATCGATCTCCGGACAGGGTACCGGCTTATGATGATCTGATTGTCGCCTCCGTCATGAGTCATAGTAGCCTGGTAGCCTGCGTACCACGGCAGAAATTTACGCTGAGACCCTGAATCATGGCTAACCACTGGCTAACCACTGTGCAGTGCACGGACTTGGAGCTTGCGTTCCAGCTACAGCAATTTTCTTAGGGAGCTGCAATCACTGACATTTGCCTCTCAGCTATGGTCGATGGCAAAATCAGGTATTGCGGAAGTCGTTGCCCTTCTCTAAACCTTCCACTGCAGCTAGCAGCTGTTGGTAAACTCGTGTGCACCATTATCGAATTAAATCTGCGGCCCTCTGACTGCAACTTCAATAGCAGCTGCCTCGTCATGTGTATCACGCATGCCTACTATGAGCCAAATGACTGTCCTTGACTTCCTTTGTGAGCTGTTCGTAGCGCCGGGCTTCTGGCCTTCAAAGCACGCGCAAAACGGGCACTGACTCAGACTTACGGTTTCGTTAGCTGAATGCTTGCAACCAAGCTCCTTTCACCAACGCTCTTTCAGACATTCTTTGCATGGCACGAAAGACCCTGCTAACCAATGTCACACCAGCAGGGATAATGCAGCCAAAAGCATGCTTATATCATGACGTATTCAATCGTTGCATATGCGCGCATGGAGCTGTTTCTGAGGTAGGCATGCGAAGATCGGGGTCCGGACTCCCAGCAAGTCCCAATGTACTCGGCCTAAGCTGAAGATCACTGTTGATACCGCTGTACCAGCTCAATGTGATGACGTATGTTGCAGCTAGCGAGCTGGTTGCAGCACATAGTCAGAGCAACGTTGATCTCTGTCTGCAGCTAGCTCTGGGCAGCTTGCTGCAGGCAGCAGGACAGTCTGCTCAATCTGCAGCTCTGCTCAAGGGATATTGTACAATTCAAGACTCGACGAATGTCGTTGCAATGGACAACCTTGAGACTCTACTGAGACCCTGCAGGGGATCCTGCCTTACTGCCTGCAGTCCCCATGCATATGGAAATGGCCAGCTTCATTCATGAGTCTGAATAGGTGCAACTGCTATATCCTCAGCATTTGGAGCCTAGTCATAAAACTATTAGGTAGTGTATATCAGTGTGTGATAGTACATATTCAGTGCGCAAGTGCAAGTCCCCAACGATGAATGGGGCACTTGCCAGCTTCAAATGCGGCCTTCAGAGCTGCTGTCGCTGGTCTCTTTCCTCACCTGGCAGGGTCATGCCTCAAATATAGGGTTACGAGTCTTGTTCCATACAGATCAAACCGCAAGTGAATCCTAGCTGATCATAGACCTAGCTATTTTTGTCCAGGACAGCGGGAGCAGTGGAACAAGCTGGGAGTACCAGTAGAAGATTCACAACCACTTCCATCAATGCAGCTCGTCTTCAAGCTCTGCGAATGCATAGACCGATCATGACGTGCCATTTGTTGCAAGCACTGGCGTTGGTAGTGGAAAATTAAAGGTACCTGGTATATCCGGACTCAATACATGAGCTGGTTCTGTGACAATCTCTGGCCTCTAGATGCACAGGAGTCTATGTAGTTAGTGTGGGCTGCCAGCTGCATTTAGAGTACTAGTTTTGTAACAGGCTGCATGGAACAAAACACATGCATCAATGCAATGACGTACATCGACTTAGCAATCAACAGAGGACAGCTTGATCAGGTCAGCAACCGCTTCAGGCAGCTCAGGCCACTCCGACTTGAGCTGTATATCTTTAGGGTTTGGTTCTGCTTTCACCGTTCGGTTCTGACGTCACTCCTTCATCGGGTCTAAGAAGAAAGCCGGGCCATTGTTGATGACCCCCCCTGTTCTGGCGCTTGCGTGACGTTGATTAGCTAGTGTGGCACGCTGACCGGCGAGCAAATAAAGCCAGAATATGCTACCTCAATGAACATCGGCATCCAACAATCTGCCACGTTGGTGCTGCACTGGTTGAATCTGCAGAGAGGTAGCTAGCGCTGATCTTCTTGTAGCCTTCCTCTTCCAACGAGCCTAGCTAAATTGCCCACCTCTCAATTCAAAACTGGTAGCTGCTTCAAGACCTTATACCTGTTTCCCGGACATGAGTCAGTGATGTTGCTGAGAAAGGGCTGTCTAGACAATCGTGACAAGAGCATCCCCAACACATCACGTGCAGGTAGTCTGTCGAACGTCTGATCATTAATCGAAGATCATTACATGCTTGGCGCTGCAGAACAGGTGTCAACGAGTTAGGAAGGGTTGGGTCCATAGTAAGTTTCAATGGGGCGCCCTACTTAGGGCGCCCAAAAGACGTGTGAGGTTGCTAGGGGATCTGGGCGGGTACTAGAATTGGGCGAAGCGTGCGAACTTTAGCTGGCTTATAGCTGGGTTCTGGTCCTTAGTTGAGTCTTACTTTTCCGTATCAACCTTCCTCGTCAAAGGACCTATTCATCAGTTACTTGGATCATCGTTTCCATTCTGCGACAAAGCATGCGATCCATGATCAAAGTTCGACAGGTCTTCAACCCTGCGATGGGCTGGGACTTCAACTCGGGCCGGTTGCTTGCGAAACAATGTTTGCCAACATGTCGTGTTCAAGGATGGAGTCTTATCGAGGTACTAACCCTCAATCAAGGCAAAGATGGATTCGAAAGCTGCGTCAAGGAGTGGCCGGAGCAAGGAAGGAGGTCCAGCTTCATGTAGATTGAATATCAATGGCAGACGTAAATACGGCTGTACTGCTAGCTGTTGGCCTGATCGCTGCTGAGCCTCGGACTAATATTGCGTTCGCTTGATCGTCAATCAGATGATTCGCTTCTGCATTGGTCGAACCATCGATCAGAGTATATATGTAGATCAGACTCCCCGTGGATTGATGGTACCGGTAGGATCGCCATCAGCAGTATTCACCAGTAAATGGCATTGACCTGGGATCGCGCTTGCGCAGAATTGCCTTGCGGCTTTAGCGATAACCTGAGTTCGGATGTGCTCGCCCAGCACTTTCAATCTCTTTTCTGACCAAGGTTCTTGTTGCATTCGCCATCAGAGGTTACAAACAAAGTACTCCGAGGTTCAAAAGGCTCTTCGTAGTGCGACAGAACAGGCTGGTGTTGAGGAATGTCAACACGGTGTGCATTCAACCTCGTTTGGCGAGGCATTGGAAAAACCAAAACCTCTAAGCTGTTGGGTACGTTTGACTGTGAAGGACCTTCCTACTCAAGAATTGCTTATGACCTCTCTGCCTCAGGATGTCAACCAGATAGTGCCCACAGACAGTTGTATCTGGAGACAAATTGCAGTACCGGATCTGTGTCTCAGTGAAAAGAATGAGGTGACGAGCAGCTAGGCTGCCATTTGATCTGGCGTCCCTTCAGGTAAAAGTCCTGATCGCTTCTTCTGGTATATCACTCCAAAAACAGTCGATAATTTGACTCAGCATAGCCGGGGTATTATCAACCCATCAATTAATGGTCGTCAGAAAGCCCCTTCGAAAATGTTGCTCAATTTCTAGCTCTCTCGTTCAGACCTACTCGAGCAAACAGGGAACCATCTGCGTCAGGAGAATACCGCTTCGCCTGAAGAAGCTAGAGACCCACGAAGGCGCTAATCAGATGATCACATACTGAAGAAACACTACCCGCCAGAATCAACTGTCACGAGCTGACTGTGACGAGGCTAGTCCTCCAAAGCAAGATACACTGCGTATCTGCACACGTGGCGAAGTTCATGAAGCAAGCCCACTTGCCGTCTCCATTGCTTAGAAGGAAGCCTGGGCTCTGTCCATGCAAAATGGACGGTTGACGCGACCGAAAGCGATCTGCTGCCGCCTTGTGACCGTTTAGTCAAAAGAGCCTCCGCAGGGGTCCAGAATGTGCAATAGAAAGCCGCGTCTCCCGTTTCTCATGCACGGATTGACCAGTGTGCTCGACTTTTACTAGCTGGGCAACATTCACTCTAGCGGCGGCCCCATTGCATGATCGATAGGGTTGTGACTACAGAACTTAAGTTAGAGATATCGAGCCAGCTAGCATTATCACATTTGCCCTTTCAGACACGTATACTAGGTACGTGCGTCAGCACGCGTACACGCCTCGCGCAATATCGTCTGCGCGTGGAGCTCAGCATGGATCAAGTCTGAATCTTCAAGCCGGCCGCCGTAAAACGGCCCTCGCAACGTACAGCTAGCTACACGTCCATGCTCAAACAGTCATGGTCAGGCAGCGCTACATCTAACTTAACTACATGGACTGCAAGCTGAGGCGCCATGTGCGCCGGCACAAACTTGTCGATCCGGGATCATGATCGCCGCGCAGGCCCATGTGACGCCAATTTTGAAGTCAAAGCTTAAGCAAGATGTAGGAATGTATAAAAAGAGTGAAGATATTCTCGATGAATTGTTGCACCTCCCAGCTAGCTTACAAAAAGTGCGTCGCGTTCATGCTGGCCTTCCTTAAGAACTACAGCCAGGTTGACATTAGGAAGCTGAATTGTAACACTTACACGCTGGGGTAATAATATGGTACTAGCCAAGCGCGGCTCATCAAACTCCAGCATATTAGCAGGTTCTAACTCGCTCGTTGTTTACAAAGTCGAACCTAGTCTCGCATGGCGCCTGGCAACACCGTTTCAAGTGTATGGTACAGCATACTGTGCTATCAGCCAAGCAACTCAGCTGCTCTCTTTGAAGAGCTCCCTCCCTATGAGCATGCGCCGGATCTCGCTCGTGCCAGCCCCGATCTCGTATAGCTTGGCGTCCCGCAAAAGGCGCCCGGTGGGATACTCGTTCACGTAGCCATTTCCGCCGAGGGCCTGAATGGCCTGCAATGGAGATTTGAAGGTACAGTCAGATGAAGCGTCAACGAATATCCCTGCTTGAACACTGAACATAGACAGTTACCAGACGTATGGCATTGTCTTCATCCTTGCAGGAGGAAGGATGGCAGAGCAAAACCATACTGATGGCAGAGCGGAATGATACTGATGGCAGAGCGGAACGATACTGATGGCAGAGCGGAATGATACTGAGGGCAGAGCGGAATGATACTGGTGGCAGAGCGGAACGATACTGATGGCAGAGCGGAACGATACTGACGGCAGAGCGGACCGACAACCCCTTTGAATTCCATCTGACCTACATGAAAGTGCTCTTTGAGTGCTCGAAGAGCGGCTGGACGAAATGGAATACGAAGCTCGCTTCTCAAGAGCAAAGCGGGACACGAAAGGCTGCTTCCGAGCTGTTCGTATCGCAATCTGTCGATTGGCACGATCAGGGCGCAGACCGATTTCCAGTCGTCTCCTTCTCAGACGGTCATTTGGACATTTCTGAGCAGAGGCTGTATCAGAATCCTTTCTTACAATAAGCCCGTCGGTTTTGTGGAAACGGCAATTTGAAGGAGGGATATCTGCGTTGATAGAACGAACTCCCCGGGGTTGAGAGCTGAACGTGAGCACGCAATCCAAGGAGCGGGTCTCCATATGAGATGCCTACGATTAAGTAAAAGAACGAGAGGACCATCTTACCTGCAAAGCAACTTGCGTGGCGTTCTCGGCTGAGTATAAAATGACTGCCGCACAGTCCTGCGTAGGAAAGAAGAACACAGTCAGTAAATGTCACAGTCAGCCTCACGAGAATTGCACGTTGTTCCTGACAGCAACTCAAACTGCTAGCTGGTGGAAAAGCTTTCACGTAGACGCAACTGGAAACCTAAGTCACATTCCGGGGGACCTTTTCGACCTTTTCGAACAAGAACAGGACGCAAAGCTAGGGCCAGCTGAGAGCTGAAACTAAGCAAGCGGCGCACTAGGACGGTAGTCCCCGAAAAGAAAGAGCATATCTTCAAATTGGCCTTGAATTCACAACTCTAACCCGCCTATCTGATACTGGGCACTCTGCATATATCCTTCGAGTGCAGGCGTTAAATCTGATTCTCTTCCGAGCAATGTTGCGTGTCGACTGAAAACCTACTTGGACTCCAATGTTGCCTTTGTAGGGCCGACAGGTAGGAGGTACGGTACTTTTCAAGCCATATTACTCCTCTGGTATGTACCTTGGGTTACCACGTGGATCTGAAAAGCCATCAGATTGGCTAAAGAAATCTGAAAAGCTTTTGGCAGCTTTTCGGTCGACGCGCACCCTTATCTAGGGATCTGAGCCTCACCTTCCTATCTACCTTTCCCTCGTCGCAAGCCTTTGCGACGGAGTAGACAAACGCTCTGCACGACAGAGAGAGGAACCTTTCAGTGCTCGCAGCAAACAGTGAATTTTATGTGCTGGCAATTCGGCGAGACAACAGCGTTCGGGTGCTCGTTCTGTTTTCGAGAATAACGACTGCCACCCTACTTTCACCAAACACGGCGCTCTTGCGTCAAAGGAGACAGTTTTTGGCAGCCAGTTCGAGCAAGCACTGAGCGGACGGCTTGATATGTACGGGTGTAGAAAACGAACACACGGAAAATCACTTCCTTGACAACATACACACATTCTGTTCGCAAGCGTCGCTTACGTCAGTGGAAGATTCTGAGCAACATTCCCTGGATTGCTGAACATACTACGACCAGAAAAAGCGGACAGAATCCAAGGAATAGACCAGGTGCAATCAAGAGGAAGAGCTTCAAGAGACCCCAAGTGGACGCCTGTAGGGTAGTAAACATGTCCACGCGGGTCGTTGTTTCATCAGCTGGAGCTCCCCAGACCGCTTTCCGACTGTTTTCAGCTATGCACTCTTCCAATCAAAACACTAGGCCAACACAAGGGTGGAAAGCAGTTCGAGCGTCATAATGGACCTACCTTGACGCTTGAAGCGTCGTCTACATGTCCGCTTTTTCTGCTGCATGAGCTGGTTATCCCCGACTGCCTTCTCGAGCTGCTCTTACATTGCCCAGACTTAAAAAGCGCAGGCACAAAAACCCACAAGGAAGAAACAAGGAAACAAGAGCTGTTCACAGCAGGCGTCATACCTTGACGCTTGAAGCGTCGTATACATGTCCGCTAGTTTCCCCTGCATTAGCTGGAACTCGCCGATCGGCTTCCCAAACTGCTCTCGACTGTGCACGTACGGTAACACGGTATCTAGGCACGCCTGCATCAGCCCCACAGGCCCGCCCGCGAGAACTAGACGCTCGAGATCCAGCCCGCTCATCATGACGTAGACGCCGCGGCCCTCCTCGCCGAGGACGTTGCTCGTGGGTACGAAGCAGTCCTCGAAAACGAGCTCGCACCTGCGAGGGAAAATCAGTATTCTGGAAAAGTCCTGGAGAAAAAAGCAAAAAGAAAGATAAAAGCACCCTTGCAAGATGTGCTGATTGCTACAAGACGGCCCGGTCTTTCCTCGCCGAGGACGTTGCTCGTAGGCTCGAAGCAGTCCTCGAAAACCAGCTCGCACCCGCAAATCTAGATGTGTTAAGAACGTTCTCTTTCCATACACGAAGAATCCTTTGCATAGACCAAGAAAGAGACGATTGTGGGGTATGCTACGGGTATCGACGATCTGGCCCTCCTCGCCAAGAGAACGAAGCAGTCCTCAAAAACGAGCTCGCACCTGTGAAACAACAATCGAGTTCCAGTGCGCTACGATATCTATTGTCTTCGTGAGTATGATGAATGAACGCCCAGCCCTTCTTGCTGGGAACGTTGCTCGTAGGCACGAAGCAGTTTCATCCGGCCCTTCTTGCCATGAAGTGTCGCTCGTAGGCGCGGTGCAGATGTGGAGATGAGCTCGGACCCGCGGGGAGGGATAGGGTTAATAGAGGCCAGTTGTAAAACAACGGTTTGTAAAGACTTCCCAAGGGACCCCTTCAACCTTGCGGCTACGTTCGCACAAAGAGAAAGCGCCAATCCAAGAAGACCGTAACGTGTCGAGACAAAGAGCGAGATCTTTTCCAGATTATGGACGTTAGATAAGGTCTGCGAACAGGCTACTTACGTGTCGCTGCCACGCATCCCGAGCTTGTCCAATTTCTGGGCCGTCCGAAATCTGCGGACAGGAAGAGCACCGGTTTTTAGCACGGACCCTTTGGTTTCGGACGCACGAAAAAGTGGTCGACAGAGCAGCTCAGCTAGCAGAGTTCTTTTGGGGTTTAGGGCTTTACGGTTTTAGGGCTTTAGGGTTTTAGGGTTTGCAGCGACGGTAATCGAAAACGAATACAAAGAGCACCGTCATCAACGAAGTCACTCGCTACCTGTATGCTTGTAGACAGTTTGCAGAAGCGGACTTCCAAGATCAGTGAACGCTTTCCGCCAAAGGCTCAGGAAGGAAATGAGATTGAGAGCAGACCCCTACCCTTGCATTCCCTTCTCGATGATGAACGCCGTGATCCCGTGCGGACCTTTTGCCGTGTCCGTTTTGGCGTACACCACCTGCGGACACCGGACAGCACGTGAGCGGAACAATTTCGCTAGCGAAACCGGACGTCTCGAGAGCGAGATATGCGGTCCCTAAGCCTAACAGTTTTAAGCCGGCAAACTAACCCGGACGCGAGAACCACGAGCCTCATAAGCGGTTTGACTGTTTCGAGGTTCGTTTGGCGCAGTCGAGTGGCTGTCATTTCACAACTGTCAGCCGGCCGGAGTCAAAGCGCAACAATATGGAGTGAGACTATCAGTCGAAACAGCAGAGGTACAAAGAGGACTTGGGGCTTCAAAAGTACAAATGTCGATCGTCAATCCTGAACTAAAGAACAAACGATGCATGCGGCACCATGCCGTACTCGTTTCCCCTTCCCTTTTGATTTCAAACAAAATGACGATTGAAAGGGAATGACCGGAGCAAGAGCACAAAAGGAGAGAGCTGATTGACCTGCTAAGAAAGGAAACAGAGACGAGGAGGATTTGAACCTCTGATACAACGTGTAATGGCTCACCAGGGTATCAACTGGCCCGTTAGTGCACCACGTTTTTGAGTGGTCTTCTTTCCTCTCCGATTCCAAACATGGGGAATGACGGAAACGGCCAGAACTAGCGCAAAGATAAAATTGCAACCATTTGGGCAAAATGCGGTAACGGCAGGAGAATCCCTAGAATGTGACAATTCGAAAAGGTGTGGAATGCTCACGAGAGTGTTGGCTACGGGCCCGTTCGTGCACCACATTTTGTTTCCGTTGAGGACGTAGCCCCCGTCCGTCTTGTCCGCCCGGCAGCGCATGCTGACGACATCCGACCCCGAGTTCGGCTCGCTCATGGCCAACGCACCGACGTGCTCTCCCTTCACCAACTGGGGGGAAATAAACGATCGGGAAGTTCCATGTGGATTCTGACCGGGGGATTCAAACGGGAAAGGCGATCACGAGGGGATGCGATCGGGCCATAATATCGGGAAAAGTGGCAATCTGCGGACGAGCATGTTTGGTGAACCATAGAGTCATGGCACGTTTCCCATAGATAGCCCGGCCTTGCTGACAGAGTCTATTGGGGACGTGAGAAGGACGTGTGCACACGGACGGATGCTGCTGACGACGCAGCTGAATCGACTTGGCACCTGATTTGCGTTCTTGAAAGAGGGGCGTTCTAAAAAATGGAATTGCTCAGAGAACATTGTAAATTGATAAAAGTGTATTCACAATTCCAAGTACGGGAAGAAAGGACTCTTCAAGCGATGTGAGTGGGGTTCAGACGGGATAAACGAGTTCCTCGAGTGCGCCAACTGGCTTGAAACGCAACTAGGATGAACAAGTGTGCAAGCATGTCAGCTTCTCTTACTGCTAGGCATCTTCCAACACTCCGATCCAAGAGCCGGCCCGGCACTTCGACGTTTCAGCGCAACATAAGAAGAATACTCCTCTTCATAAGCATCCCTAAGCAGCGCCTAATCTGAACGGCCAAAGAAGGGAAGAAGACGCACCTTTGGAAGATACTTTTGTTTCTGCTCCTCGTTTCCGTTCCGCACAATCTGGTTTATGCACAGGTTGCTATGGGCTCCGTACGAGAGAGCCACCGAGCCGCTCGCCCGACTGAGCTCCTCCATAGCTATACAGTGCTCCAAGTAGCCCAGACCCATACCACCGTACTCTTCTGCAGGTTGGATGTCGAAGGTATTTGTCAGTTAAGAACAAGGATGGATGCTCCGATCCTTTCGACTCTGATCAGATATTTGAAAAACGAACCCTTTTACCCACAATCCTAAGGTATTTTCGTCCATCATGATCGAGGCACTCATCTTTGACAGTTATATGATTCCAGAAGAAGATTCAGAGGTGGGTCAGTTAAGATTGTTAGAACAGACAACCGACTGATTGTGCCAGCATCTCCAATTCTTCATTATATACGGCTGTGTTCAATACAATGCATGACCGAATCAGGCATAGTGTCGAGAAAAAATTGAGGATAAATTCCCATCCAAATCAGAACAATTACAACAGGTAAGACATGGATTGTTTAGCGATGGCCTCGGATGGAACTGACAATGACGCGATCAAATCAGGATGCGAAAAAGACCTTATTGAAAACTGGGAATCGAACTTTCTACATGAGGCAAAGGATTTTCAAGACTGCGCTATACAGATCAGAATCCCTGGGAAGAATGTAGTGACAGTGCCAGACACACACTTGATTTAAGCAATGTCAGAGGAAAGGCTGTACTCCCATTTCTACACTTCGAACATATGAAGTCAGATATGAAATGAAATTAACTGACCTGGGACTGTAATTCCGTGCAGGTCAAACTCGCCCATCTTTCTCCACAAGTTGACGTCCTTTGGGAACGAGTTGTTGTGGTCGATCTGGGCAGCCAGCGGCGCAATGTTCTCTTGGGCAAACTTGCGGACGCTCTCTTTGAACTGCACACAAGTTAGAAAGATGAGCAAACGGCGCTGAGGTGTAGATGCGTCCATTTCTGCCATGACCATCAGTGCAGGGGATATTGGGATTGAGAGATATTCATGCCCCAAACTTATCCAATGTTCGAAACATCACAACCGTCTGTTCCCAATGACCCCGACTGGGGTGCGCGATACCATTTTTCAACAGGAGTTCTTGGAATATTTGGCTCACCCAGAGGGCTGAACAAGTAGTCAGCAGATGCAATTCTTTGTAAAACTCAATCTCGAAAAGTGTTGACTGCCAGGTTTCGGTGCGGAGCAAGGACAACCCTCTGAATGATTGAAAAGGGCGCGCTGCTCGAGACTACGCAGTCCTCAATTCAGTAATTCTAGATGACCCCCAAAACTTCAAGCAATCAGTCTGATGTTTAGTCTGATGAACAAGCTTGGTCCAAATGCACGCCTCTCATCGAGAGGCAGGCGATACTCATAAGATTCCTCCTGTCTCAGGCCCGGAATCCTCTCCCTTGTCTGGGGCGTTTGGAGCAACATAGAATCTCCTGTCTTCATTTTTCCAAAGGGAACTGATTGGCTTACCTGCATGGACGTATCATCCAGAAGCCCAGCCCCAGTAGAATAACAGTGGGCTTTTATACCACTCCATGCCTGTAAAAAAAGACAGAAACCCTTTATTCAGTTGCCACAAGAAGCATTTTTGAAAGGAGTCCCAGCTTAGCTCCTTTTGTTAGCCTAACGCCCAATCCGTGCATGCTAGCTCAAGTATTTCCACTAACGCAGTTGGTTCAGTGGAAGAAAGTGATTTCTGCAGAGACTTGCTGTAGTTGGCAACGTGGAACCAGCTGACTGCAATGACAGTGTCAAGAACATTTTGACAACTGATCTTGATGACTATCGCTCTTGGATAGACATACTGCGCATCAGAAGGGTTTCCGCCACTACTAGCTCGCAGCTTTCCGAGGAATGTCGATGTAGTGAAGCCTCCACAGAGTACTTTTTCTTACTTCTTATACTAAGGACCTACACAGAAACGGCCTTAGAATATTTCAGGACTAAAGGAAGTGGTAGCTTGCTGCATACACTGGTCACATACTCTACGTCAAGCTCCAGACACTGGTCAGTAATAAAAGGAGCTAGTGGTGCTTTGCTTGAGTGCAGCTTGCAAAAAGCCGATACAAGTCCTTAACAAGTTAGGGTTGCAAACCCTAAAACATGTTCAAGGAGGAGGACTTACCAGCGCTGCACCCAACCAACTCTGGTCGTAACCAGCTCGTAAACATGGAGCTCGAAAACCTGGTCGGCTGGAGCCACAACCAGAGTGCAAAGCGAATGCCCCTCGAGCTAGCAGATGGATGCAGCTTTTCATGGTGTGCCACTGATGGGGCTCCTCAAAGGACTTGCTTCCTCCTGGGAATACTTGAAGGGATGCAGAATGCCTTCAAGAAGAAGCTCAATGGCGTCTCTTGTGGGAGCACACAAGGCGCATGCTGAGCTGTCAAATGAGTCTTGCTTTGATATACCTAGGTAGCCCTGAACTTGAAGGGGCTGAGCTGGCAGGAAACTGGTGCCAGCATGCTTTACGGAACCTGTTTCATGCATGGTCACCCGTAAATTTCACTAGAGAGCTTGACCATACGCCCATATTTGTGACAGATAAGGTGACAGAAACTTGCAAAGCACTATAGCTTTTAGCTTATTCCAGAAATTATGAATCGGTCGTAAAATCACGTGCAAAGAGCAGATATCATTATGTGATTACTGTCATATGTCCGTGGACGCTTTACCAAGTGGAAGTGGCGGGAAATACGTTTTCAAACAGCTGAGTAGGCTGTGCAGCAAATTGCACTCTAATGAGTCTCTTCAGCTAGGTAGGTCCATCATGCGGAGGCGCTTCTAGGTACCGTACTTCTGCTCTGCTCTTGTTGCCAGGCTCTGGAGGGGTGCTGAGGATGTCAAGCTCAGATGGGATCGAGCCCCGCACCTCTGGAAGCTCCAGCTCCAGAAACTCCCCCAAGGGAGTCATGCATATCTTTGATGCTCAAAGATCATAAGGCAACGCTTTCAGCGATCTTGGAGGCGGCGAAAGAGCAGGCCCTGAGGCATAAGCAGGCATCCAGTTCTAGCGGAGAGTTGCCGGGAGAGCAAACTAGAGAAGACTTTGACGCGGAGGTGATTCGCGATCTGCAGTCAGAAGCCTCAGAGAGAACCCTAGAATCTGGCAACTCTGAATCTGATCAAACAGGAGGACAAGGAGACGGTTTGAAGCAGCCAGCGGTTTACCTTAGGGATGATATCATAAGCTATCGTGCGCAACTAGGGATGGCAAGCCTGTCATCCAGCTGCACCTACACCCCAGGCCAGCTGTCTGGTGGTTCCTTCCCCAGCGCCTTCCCTTCCCCCTTGCCAATTGACAAGGACAATCAGCAGCAGCTGCCTGGCCCTAGTAATGCAGTAAAAGGTAATTCAGCTGGTCTCTCCTCCCTCTCCCAACTGCCATTCCTCCCAACTGAAGCCTTCCACGACTTTTCATTGGGCGTCCCCTCGTTTGCCCCTCATGGTGTGAACACGCCCCTTCTTGCTTATCCTCAAGGTGCGAATGCACCCCCCCTGGGGAGCTGGCCGTGGCTACCAGCAGGCTCCGGAGTGACCCCCTCCCCTTATGAGATTGCGCTCATGTATCTTCAAGGGGGCGGAGCATCTGCCCCTCCCGCAGCTCCCCTGCCACAGAGCGGCTCCTATGAACTAGGCGTACACCAGCAATTTGTCAAGAGTCAGTCCGGCGACATCTACAGGGGTCAGCCTGGATTGATGGAGCCAGCAGAGCCTGTGTTGCAGAGGTCAGCAGAGACTGGGCCGCCGAGGCTAGCAGACTCTGGATCGCTGAGGTCAGCAGAGCAGAGGGGGCAGGGCAGCCGGCCAGGGACAGGGGCATCGCTTCGGTCGTTCGACGAGGGGGGACGAGATTGGGAGCTGGGGCCCGCTTATACGGAGGCGGAGCCCGAATATGCAGAGGCGGCTGGGAGAAAGGAAGGAGGCGCAAGTATGTTCTCTGCTGCGGCAGCGGTGTCTGAGTTTAATGATGTAGAGGTCAGGAGATCTAGAGATGGTGTGCGAGTAAGAGAATTCAAGGGGCTTGGGGCTGAAAAGGCGAGCAACTGGGAGGAAGAGGATCGAGACCTGGGCGGGGTGGGGGAACCTTACGGGCAAAAGAACAGTTTTAACAAGCACAAGGCAGAAGAGAAAAGTACTGCGGAATTGCGGGGGAATTTCTTCGGTGGGGGAGTGTCAGAGGGAAGAGACCGCGGCCGGCAAGATCCTGACACGATCGGGAGCTTCGCTGAACAGAGGGGGCCGTCAGCGGGTTCTCCAATCAGGTCGCACAAGCTCGTTATGCGCAACAGCCTTGACGAGAGGCCCCTCCCTCGAGCGAGCGCATATTCTGAGAGGCCTTCCCCAAGCAAGCCAGGCGCCTCTGCTGTGATCCACATTCCGGCCCCTAGCAATACCCCGCAGACGCTCCATCATGATCGGCTGTCGAAGCGGCCGTTCCTGAAGCGGGGGTCGCGTCTTCTCAAGTCGGTGATCCCCCGGAAAGGAGAGAAGGAGTCGTGGGTTGCCGAGTTCAAGGGGAAGATTGCGGCTGTTCCGAGAGCAGTGGTCGATGTGCCAACTGAAGAGGACACCGGGGAAGGCGTGGACTGGGGGGTTCTGAACGCTCAGAAAGTGACGGGGAAGAGGCTCCCCCCGCCTGTCAGCAAGCTAAAGAAGGTGGTGCCACAGAAAGGGAGTCGGACGGCGGTCAAGGAAGAACCGTTGGTCAAGAGGGGGGGCAACTTTCTGAGGGCCGGCAGCAGGGGCGGACGGTTGGCCCCCCTGCAGAATACCAGGTGGGTTGTTGGAAGAACCTGAGACCTCTGAGTTCTCTTTGTGATATTCTTCACGCTTGGTCTTGATTTGGTCGGCTGTGGTAAACTAAATGTGGTCCATCTTCTGCACACTTGCGGCGTAAGCATTTTGACAGCTAGTGTAGCTTCCTGTGATTGCATGACAATGACTGATTTCCTTTTAAGGTCATCATTTGCAGGTCGTTGACCACTGGTGTTTGCACAGTCTTGCCCTTTTAATTCTTAGTACTCTTGCCTTTTCTTGGAATGTCTGACCAGTGAAGACGATGTTTCTGGATATTGAATGTAATCATCCGACAAAGCGTGTCGCCTCCCAAAAGCTGCAACGTTCTACTGTTCTCCTTGTGCTTGGAGTTCTCGTAGCTAGTCTAGGCATCCTGTACTTAGATATCAAGCATCCTTCAGACACACCATAATGTCGGCTCAGCTTCGAGTCTCCAAAAAGGTGATGAAAGTTTTGCAGCCTCTGCGCAATAAAGAGACATGTTTCTTACGGCAAAGAAGCTGTCAACATTTCGAAATCAAGGGCAACTGGACCTTGCCCATTCCTTCGGCCAACCGTTGGCTATCTCGGCTTCTTTATCAGCAGCTTTTTGGGGAGACATCAAATACCATCCAGACACGTGAGGCCGTAAGAAAACTTACGTCAAGCCATCCTCTCACAGCGATGTTTTATCCATTGTCAGACCTACATCGAGCAACCCAGTCCCTGCTGCAAGGAAACCGGCCCCTGCTTCAGAGCTTCCCAGTTTCGACGAAATACAGCCAGTCGACGACTTGGAGTTGGCGGAATTTCAAGCGCTCGAGCGACGCTTGAAAGGCCATGTTCTAGAAGATGCCGAGCCTCAGATTGAGTACGAAGACAGAGAAAAAGAGCTTGAACCTGAGCCGAATACCGACCGGGTGGGAGTAGGGTTCGGGTTAAGAAGCGAGTTGGCGAGTTGGGGGGAGGGGGTGGCAGGCCACGGATGTGAATACGAAAATGGGGACGGAACGGAAGAGTTCGACGGAGCTGGGGAGGTTGGAGACAGTTTCGGCGGGCGAGATTTGATGCAATCGATTGACGAGTGGGGGCTGCCGGAGGGGGGCGAATCACCCCCTGGAGTACATTACAGAGTAGAGGAAGACGAGCGTGTTGCTCAGATTGCGGAGGCTCAACCCCCCAGCTCGAGCACTCAGAACGGGCGCAGCCGATTTCGGGACAGCGAGCAATGGGAGGACGATGCGGGCTTCTCAAACGGGGGGGTCGAAGCGCCTGCTGCCCTGCCCCCGCCAGCAGCACAGAGGCAGCCAGAAAGAGTCAGCGGGCAGTCGGCAGAGGCTGTAGTGCCCGGCAGAGGCCCCCCGGGCAAGGGCAGGGCTGCTGCGGGGGTGCCCGGTGAATCCCCCCGGGTGTCTGCCTTGGTGAAGAACGTTTTCCTTGGGGAAGCGAAAAAGCCGGCGCTGCGGAAGGGGGCGACCCAGAGCAACGAGCCGGACTTGGCTGGTGAGCGAATCGTTCTCGACTCTTTGGGTGGGTTGTCTAAGACTTCTCGGATGATTCGCGTGATTATGAATAGGGACTTCCGTTATCCTGAGAGTGGGTTCCACCATAGAAGAGGCATTGTAGGAAACCTTTCTTCCAGCATCCGAAAGACTTCGAGTAACTTGAGTGGTATGTCAACAGAAACTTCTGTTATATCATTACTGAGTTCCACCATCTAAAGAGGGGAGACGTTGCTTCCGGATAGATGGAGAATGGTAGCTCAGAAGGGCCAGAAAGCTGAAAAGTTGGGTTTCCGAATCGGTCACAACACTGGTAGATCCTGCCCTATCACGCAACCGAAACGGCTTAGAAAATGGCGACCCTGCATCGAGAACCAACGCTGCAAGGTTTGAAGCTGTCTCTCAACGGAACCCGAAAACACTGGATTGTAGATCACGACAGAGAATTTGAGGAACCATCACTCACTCTGTTTGCAGCCGACATGGCATTTCTGGAAGAGGAGAGGGCGACACTCAACCGCAAGATTCACTGATTCAAGCTTGAGGCCGTCTCTCTTTCGAAAATGCATTGAGAGTCGTCGAACTGGGATGAATTTCTCTTTTGCAACCGAGTTGGCCTTTCAGGTAAGGAGAATATGCGGACCATCGACAGCAAGATCTAGCGCTTTGAGCTTCGAAGCGATTCGATCCCAAAAGATGCAAGAAAAAAGTAAATCTGGAGTTGACTCCTCTTATTTGCAGCCGAGATGGCGTTTCTGAAGGAGAAGATGGCGACACTAGGCAAGCGCTTCAAGCTCCGAAGCAATTTCGTACACGAAAGATGCAATGAAAGTCGTAAAAGCACAGTTGCCTCCTCACTTTTGCAGCCGAGATGGCGTTCCTGAAGGAAAAGATGGCGACTCTCGACAGCGAGATCCAGCGCTCGAAGCTTCGAAGCGACTTAACACCCAAAAACTACACCCAAAAGATGCCATGAGAAACGTAAAACTAGAGTTGACTCCTCATATTTGCAGCCGAGATGGCATTCCTGAAGGAGAAGATGGCGACCCTCGACAGCGAGATACAGCGCTTCAAGCGAGAGAACGAGAAGATGGAACGTGCCCGGCTGGAGTACGAGGCGCGTGCTGACGTGGCGGCAAAGGAGAGGGCGACCTGGGAGAAGCGCATGCAGGAGGAAGAGGAGGCCTGGAACAGGTGCACGCGGTCGCCCTTTCATTTTGAAAGGGCTCTACAGCCCTTCTCTGGTGGTGGAACCTTTTCAGTTCAGCCTTCTCTCACATTTTTCCGGTAGAGACTCATGGAGGTGTAAAAAGGGTTGAAAACGTTAGCGACAATGAGTGCTTCGGTGCTGCTTCCTCAGTTGCTTTCGAAAGTGGTCATCGTTTGGTGCCCGTTTTCTCACTGATTTCCCTGGTGGTAAAGGGTTCTCCGTTGTTCTTTCGATAGCTGGTTTGATAGTCGTTTGGGCCATTGGCGTGCAGAAAACCGGTACCCTTGCCAAGCCAAAGCGCGAGCAAGCGAAACTAGAGCACCAACCCTGCGCAGCATTAAGCAAGACAGATCCGGACCTTCAACTGCAGTAGAGTGTCGGTTGTATGCAACAAACCCCGGAGGTCTCCATTCGTGAAACCTAGTCCGCACAAACAGGACTGGAATGAAGCTGAAGCCTAGGTCTGCCAACTTCTGCAGGAAGAAAGAAGCCGAGGCTCAAAAGCTGAAGCGCGACAAGCGCGTGCTGGAACAGCAGTCGCGAGCACTGCTGCAGCTGCCGGGGCGGAAAGCGCGCGGCGAGGCCGACGAGCTGAGGGCGCAGATTGCGGGCCTGGAGGAGGATAAGCGGGTGAGAGCGTTGAATAAGACCTTTTGTACATTTGCAGGAATGGCGGCAGCTATGCCATTAACAAGGCCGAACAGGATGGTGCCATAGCCGATGCCGTCGGCGACCTGGACGTGTAAAGAGCTCGTAAGCTATGGAGAATCTTGAAAGTGCTGCACAAGGCGGTCGAATAGACGCTGCCATGTTGAGACAAGCGTCGAAGAAGGTAGAATTTTGTTTGAGTCTCCAAAACATAGGTGTCAAGAGGGAGACCGTCTCGAGGCTGCGGCGGACCCCTTCGCAGGGTTGTTCTGACTATAGCTGGTCAACTTTGGTCGCTCAAACGAAAGACGTTTTAGAAATTTGTAGAGCTTGATTTCAGAATAAACTTACGCCGAGCTGTAACCGGGGCTTACTCAGCTAAAATCACGTTTATTAAAGTGGTTCGTTTCTGTCACAAATCCAGGTGCGGGAGGCGCGGTGGCGATTGACAGTGGACCGTTTGAAGGGGCGCGTAGAGGAGCTGACGGAGAGGAACAAGGAGTTGGAAGAGGAGGTAAGAGACCGCACCTTGGCCTTGAAATGAAACCGCCGTTTTTTTTCAGAAGACACGGCTTGGTCGCCTGATTAGCAGCTATCCCGATCTTCCTTTGTCCAATTCTCTGATTGAGAAGATCTGACCACAAAGGTATACCAGGACCTCGGGCGGATCGTAGGTTCGCTAGGGAGGGTCGTAGGTTCGCTAGGGAGGGGCAGTTTTGACGCTTCAAACGCAACGCTTAGAAACTTGCGCCGAAAGCGGCGAGACGAGGATACGAGCCCCCACGGGGTTTTTCCAAAGAAGAGCTGTAATGATCGATCTTAGTCCAGTTCACAACACGTTATGCTGTGCTTGACTGCCCTGACACGCTCGCTCCGTCCATACAGGTGAAGCGGCACGAGGCGCGCTGGCTCGAGCAGTGGGAGAAGCAGGACGCGCCCTCGCTGAAATCATCCAAGCCCGCCAAGTTCCAGGGGCGGCCTCAGAGCGCCGCCGTGAGAAGCACGACGGCCGCCGTTTCTGAAAGCGCACCAATCGTTCCGCTTCGGCAGTCTGCCTCAAGAAAAGAGGAGACGGCGCCTGTTAGGGGGGTGCTCAAGAGCCCTGAAAAGGGGGGGATACGGCAGAGTCGCTCGGATAGGGGGATGGTAGTCCGCGTTTCGGGGGTAGAGGGAGCGAGGACTGGCGATCTTGGTGTAAATGGGGTCCAAGAGAGGGGTGTTAACGGGGTCCAGGGGAAGAACGTGAGAAGGGACCATACCGGAGGTGTGAACGGGGCAAGTGTGAACGGGCTCTCAAGCAGGGAGGGGAATGAATTTGGTGTGAACGGGCTCCACGAGGAGAGCGCGAAGAGGGTTGACAGAAGAGGGGCGTTGCTAGACCGTGACGACGTTGATGCGTTGCTGGACGAAGGGCGGAAGGTCAGGAATGGCGCGTTTGGTTTGGAGACGATAAATCGGGGCAAAAGCAGTGACACTTTCGACACAGGGGAGGTTGTAACCGTGCATGAGAGAAGAGTTGAGCACTCGGAAGACTTCCAGGGGCGCACGCTTGGAGAGCGACGGGTTCAGGATTCGTTTGGGACCGAAACAAGCACGTGGCAGGATCAAGGAGGGGAAATGGCCTACGATAGTGCATCGTCGGGGTTAGCGGCCCAGTATCGGGTTCGCTCAGAGGATTACCCTGGGTTAAGGAGTGGGTTAGATGGACAAGGAGAGAACGGTTATGGGAACCGGGACGGTGAAAAGAAGAGCGTACCTGCGAGGGGTCTTGAAGTGGAAGAGGCTTCCTCGAGGGGGCGAAATGGGGCGGCAGAAAGAGGGTTGGAAGCGGGTTTGGACGAGGGTTTAGGAAACCCGTTGGAGGAAAACGGCGCCGAGAAAGAGGAAGGCGACGGCGAGTTGTTGGAAGAGATCGCGGGGGCGGCGGGCAAGGTGGAGCGAGTCTATGCCAGCGGGAAGCGCGTGGTCATCTTTGGGAACGGGACCATTAAGGAGGTAAGAATGTGCTTCCCACCCTTCCTCTGTTTGTTTTTATCAAATTGAGAACCTTGTTCGTCTTTGGGTTAGGGGACCCCTGTTCAGATTGCGGTTTAGAAGCGGCAAGCTTCACGCACGTGATATTTGGGAACGGGACTAAGAAGGAGGTAAGGACGTGCTTCTTATCCTTCCTCTGTTTGCTCTCTTCTGGTCGAGAACCTTGTTCTTCTTTGGGTTAGGGGACTTTGTTCAGAAGGTGGTCTGTCCTAGCGGCAAGCTTCGCACATGTTGCGAGAGTCGTGCTGAGTGGTCCACTGGAACGTCACGTCCATTCATTTCACAGTTGACGCCACAGCAAATACCGGCCTTGAGCTGCTTTTGGTTACCCGACCGACGTTTTCAACGGCCAGGCTGACTGACGCTTAAGCTCACCTACCATTTGATGCCTGGGGAAATGGCTCGTTGAAGTTTCAAATCCTGATAGTCACGCTCTAGAAAATGTATCCACCGTAAACCCTCAACCAGGTCCAGCCGCCCACTTGCCATAAAATGGGCAGATGCGCCCGAGTCTGAAATACAGGATTTTTATGACGGTTCTCAACCCATCGCATAAATGCTCTGCGCGACTACCTCAGCTTGCATCGGTTGCATCAGAGTCCCCCCAAAGGTTCAAACCGCAGCGCGAAGCAGCGTGGTTCCAATCCGTTTCCAAGCACGTTGCCAATCTCTTTCCAAGCATGCTTCTAACCTTTCCAAGCATGTTTCCGATCTCTTTCCAAGCATGTTTCCAACCTCTTTCACCGCAGATCCACGCGAGCGGCAAGGTGTGCATCTTCTTCACCAACGGCGACGTCAAGAACTCAGACGCCGACGGGCGCGTCGAGTACTACTACGCAGAAGTTGCCACGTGGCACACCACGTACGCGGACGGCGTCGAAGTTTTCCACTTTCCGAACGGACAGGTAGGAAACGTGTCTTTGCTGCTAATACGGACGGGCGCTTGGAAATGGGTGGGATTAGTGCAAGATTTAGGGTGATCTTCGTTTGCCGAGTGGTTCTGCTTTACTACACCTGTGCTCGGGTTTGTTATAATCAAAATCCTCAATCTTCGGTTCATCTAAGCAACATAATATCGGGTGGGTTTCGCTTCGTGCTTCCCAACGTGTCCGAGCTTTTGGGATGCTTAGCACTTGAGGGTGTAGAATCGGTCAAGCCACCTGGAAATAGGCAGACGTCTCAGATAGACACTCCGATTATCTATTGCACAATCGCAGTGTCTCAGCGGCTGTCTGAGTTTGAACTCTCAAATGGATTTGATCTTTGAACGGAAACGCAAGGTCATAATCGAGAACCTTGTGCCAAGGGCGGCATTCAGCCATTGCCTCGTGGCTTCCAAGAAACTCAAGATCAGGAATGCGGTGTCGCAGGTGGAACAACACGAGCCGGACGGTTCGAAGGAGATCTTCTTTCCGGACGGAGCGGTCCGGAAGGTGAATCCGGACGGGACTGAGGAGGTGAGCGCTTGACAAGTGGCAGTCATCCGAGACGTGTTCGAAGCTGTAACGCTGGCTGTCTGCTAGGACCGAAAGCAGCTGAAGAATGTTTGAAAAGTTCACGCTACCTCCGCTAAGCATCTCGATGAAGGCAACAAGGTTGCCTTCTTCGGTCATATATAGGAGTTTTGCGTATTGTCCTGAGGAACTTACCTTTTCATGGAACGCCCATAGGTTCGACAAAAACCAGCAAGGAACAAGCGAAGGCACTTCTTTGCGTAGCACTTCTGCATCTCGTTTCGTTGCTCAGGACCCCTGTTGCCAGCTTCAATCACTCGGGGGAGCAGTGAATGGGGGAACTCATTTCCGGGCGTGCGTCATCTAGAGTGTCCAATCGTGACATGTGGCAAGGTTTAGAGTGCGAACTCATGGGCTCTCTGCAGAACGTAGGGCCCTCATCTGCATTCCATCTCTTCTGTGTAAAACTGAAGTCTTGCAATCATGGCCCGTTCCTTCTGTCGCGGATTATCTCGTTTAGACATCGTTTTACGATGTGTTCACGACTGTTCAGTTGTTCTTGAACGGAAACATCAGCTCCTCAGATGCTGGGTTCTTTGTTGCTCCAGGACGTCGCCCCCCTCGATTGAACGGCGCCGCCATTCAGCCCGTTCAAGTTCCCGGAAGATGACGTCAGCATCTGACGTCAGTGGCTTTGATGGTAAGTGGGTTGTGCCCAAGTTACTGCTAAGTGGCTGGAAGAGCCACAGTTGCAAAAGACGACCCTTTGCTTGTTCCGAAAAGCATATACTTCTTTGCCCTTGCTTGCTTTCTACCACTGACGTTGAGCTTGGGGGTCAATCTGAACCAGCAGCTTGTCCCCAGATTCTGTTCGAAACATTTGGCAAGTTTTAGTGTTGGTTACATTCTTTTACGAAGCTGTCTTCATTCTATTCCCAATAATTGTTGCATTCGCCATCGGTTCTGCTTGTTACAGAGTTCTGCATTGAAAGTCTGTTTAGGGTGGAAACTCAGCTAGATCTGTACACTTTGTCGAGATCGACCGTTATCTAGCTCGGCTGACTGCTCTTCAATACAACTTGATTTCCGAACCCCCTGACTCACTTTTCGAGCTTTTCTAGGTTGGTGACGTCTTCTGGGTTGCGCCCCGGCCAGTGAGTCTACTCCATGCGCCCTTTCGCCGGATGTGGTGACGTCAGTCAGCGGACCCATAAAGCGGGGCGTGCTCAATCCGGGGACTCGCTTGGTCATCTTGGCCGGTCGTTGACGGCGTCCTGGCGACAACCTTTACCACTGCGGCGGCCTCCGATATGCCCCTCGCTCTAGCTCCACAGTCATTGAAAATGGGTCGAACTTATTGATTTCGGTAATAGATGATTTATATTGACCTCCAATGAAACGCTGTGAAATTAGATCAAGGAGACGAGTTGCAACTTTATAGCCCAGTGCTCTGACGGCTATAAAGTGAGGCTAGCAAACTGATCATGAGACGTTGAAGCTCAATCCAGTATTAGGAGATTGATGCTATCAAATGTACCTCCAAAGTCTCCAGATGGATCTTAAGAGGCCTAGCCTTCAAACGGGGCAGATTACAATTAAGCTTCTGCAATTTTCCTAGCTCGTCATATCGAGCTTTAATGCCTGCCGGAGTACGATCTGCATGCATGCAGGCAACTTGACCGTTTCTGTGATCAAGCTGAATCCTCCACCAATGAAAGCCACTGAATCCAGCGTCAGAATCATTGCAGTACGTATAATAGCAAATACGCCATGATATATATGAGCATGTGATCCAGTGCGTGGTGATTGTTTTGCGATCGAGAGCCAGGAACTTATATGGTTGAAGCATGACTCAGGCATCCAGAAATAGGAAGTGACAGCTAGCCTGAATCCAGATGTATAGGTCATGAAAATTGTCGAAATTCAGCGCCCCTCACATGAGCGCATGCCCGACTGCAATTATTGAATTCAGGTGCAATTCTTATACGGAGCACATGCAATATCGACCGAAGCTACCGTCAGGGATTTTCCTACGATCCCATGAGCTACTTGGATTAGGTGCTTCAAGTTTGGGCATGCGTGACAAACTCGTTTGGCTGGATCCGCTACGGACTAAACAATTGCATGAGAGCGAAGAGTAACGTACACCAATGCTCTCACATACTATAATAGACGGCCTGAGCTTCTCATTTCGGACTACCTTCGCTGACCGATCTCATTGCTTTGCAATATTTGTTTAGTCTCCGGCCTATGTCTAGCTAATCCAGCCTGTGGGTCCGCCTTGATCAGGTGACGTGACATCTTCAGAAGTGACGTCATATCCTTATGGTCCGATGATCGCAAAGCAGCTGGGTCTACTTTGCCTCATAAGCAATTCAGAAATGTATGGTACAATCCTAGACCAGCAAAAGCCCAGAGTCAATTCCTGTGACGGAACCCTCCTCGTTGATTCGAGGATGCTCCGATCATGAGACTACTCGCTTTCTCGCCGCACAATAACCTCTCTAGTACTTTTGTCACACTAGCTAAGAATCGTCAATCCCTATGCGAATTCACCCCGCGCTCTGGTAATCGTTCATACTGTAGTAGCCCCTTACACGTGGCGCATCGAAGCAGCCGACCTCACGTGAGGGATTCCCCTTGAGTTTCATAGTCGTCCTCGTACATCACCAACTTGTACACGTGTCGCACCAGGGGAAGCTGACCCGGACTCAGCAGCGAGTCGAGCGTGGTCTGCGTGTGGTGCGACGAGTTTTCCTCGCTCTGCTGAACGTCCCGTAAGTACTGATACACTTTTGCAAACACCTGTAAGGAAACCCATCGTACGTGATAAGCGCACTTTGACATCAGAGGAAGCGTTTCTTCCATTTCCTGGCTTACAGAGCGGGGTCAAGGAGAATCAGTAATTTCAGGACCGGGGCCGGGGACGGTGTTGGACGGCATGACGTGGCGAGGTTCAGGGGCAAAACCCTGGGCTAGGCTCGTTTCGGCCAATCGTGGACGAGAAGGACCCGGCCAAAACCCTAAACCTCGCCACGTCATGCATTCCAACAGCATCCCCGGTCCCGATCCTGAAATTACTGGTTCTCCTACTAGTTCTCCTTGACCCCGCTCTTACAGTATGCTTGTGACATTGCGCCGCTTCTTATAGCTCTCTGTTTCCCTTCAGCACAAGTCACCACTCTTGACCACGACAACACTGCTGCCAAAACTTTCGCTACTAAAGAGGTGATCTCTGGCCAACTTGAGTAAAGGGACGAAGTCCGAGGCCTTTATATCCAGCCACGTGGCCATTCGAGTGCGGATATATTGTCAGTAAAACAGTCTTGTGGTAGATCGCAGACCGTGGGCTTGGAATCGGCTAAATGGATTTCGCGGATTCGCTCTGAAAAAGCAAGGGCCGTCATTGAGAGATTCGTTGCCGTGTCAAGAATGGGGACCCGTTTTGCCGGTCCCCCGCGGTTTTGAAAATGTTAACGTTCAGCTGGCAGGAGAGCCGTCAAACTTCGACCAAAACCTGCCCTTCAACAAAGGACACAACAAGACAGTCGCACACGACCCGTTTACAGAGTGCAAAAGCTTCCCGACGGCCGTATAAACCTCTTCAAGCAAAAGTGTTGTTCGCTTCCCCAACGGAACGTCTACATTTGATTTTCAAGCGTGTGAGAAAACTCCAGGGCAAAGGCATTCTTACCTCCCCTCCCAGTTCTTTTCGGCACATCGCTCTCAAATTTTCGATCTTGGCCCCCATGGCGCTTCTCGCCCCGTCGCCGATCATCGGCGTCATCGGCGACATGGGCACGCCAGATTCGCCCAGCAAGGTCGCCACGCGGTCCTTCCCCCCGTCTGCCACGTGTCCCTTCGTCCGGACTTTGAGCCCCGGGCTCGGCAGCTCTTCGGACGCTTTCGGACCCGCGCTACTTTCTTCCGGTCCGCTCTGTTTTATCGTCGAAACCGGCGCGCCCTCTTCCTCCGCTTCCTGGATTACACCGAGCTCCGTCGCCGGCCCCGGGGGATCCCTCGCCTCTTCCTCTTCGGCGAGGGATCCCTTGTGGGTCCCCAAGAAATGTTGCATCGTGTGCAGGACTGCGATCAGATCCATGCCCCCCTTCACTTTCTTCCAGGAGCTGCTCAACACGTGGTGTTCCCCGTCTCCCCCCCCTCCGTTCACCGCTGTTTCCACCCCCCCTCGAGACTCTGTCTTTCCTCCCCCCCCCTTCGTTCCCCTGCTTTCCACCCCCCCGTTCGTTTCTGCGCCCCGCCCAGACCTGCCCACGTCCGCCTTCTCCGGCCCCGTGTAACCCCGCACAAAAATCTCCACCGGGAGATCTTCGGGCGACACTTTCCTGGTCCGCCCCAGCGTTTGGTCGCCCCGAGCCCCTCGAACAAAGCCCCCCCCGGCCGAGAGCGGCCGCCGCTGCGTGTCCCGTCGGATGCTTTTTCCGTACGGAGACGCTTTCAGGGTTTCCGACATCGACAAGGGTTTAGGCGAGGTTTCGCCGGCGCTCCGCGAAGTCGCGCTGAGATCGCCGGGCCGTGAACCGGTCATCAGAAGGTTGTTTCCCTTGAGCGAAAACTCGAGTTCCGGCTGCCCGGGAGCCGTTCCGGGGCGTCGAGTTCCTTCCGGGGAATGCGAGCTGAATTGGCGGATAAGCTCGGCCTTGTTTAATCGGGGCTTGGCCTGTCGCAGCGACTCTTTGTGCCGCTGCAACTGCTGTTTGGTCGCCCTCAAATCCGCCTCCCGGGCAGCTTTCCGGTCGGCCTGCTGCCGGATCAGAACCTCTTTGCGGCTCTGCCGTTCAGATTCTGGAAGAAGCGAGAAAGAGATACTTCAGAATCTGAAAAAAGGACGCGCATAGCAATCAGAATGTGACTCGCTTTAGGCTGGTCTGATTGTCTTGACATTCGGAGATAAGTCTTTGCTTGAGAAGCAAGAGCGGACCAACTCTGTGTATGAATCCGCTTAACATAAACATGGTTAGAAGTCCGAATATATGGAACACCGCCTCGACGGAGGTTATCTTTTGGATGTGGATTCCGGTTGTTTTTTCGAGCCTGGTGGTAGATCCAAAATGGGGTGAAATTGAAGTAACTGTAAAGTGGTTTGTAGTACTTGAGAAGGTGCATTTCCAGGTCCCGTTGAGGTCTTGTTTCGAGAGTCGGGAGAAATGTGCTGTTCAAACGGTGCGGATTGCCGGTGTTGTTCTGAGGGCGTTATACAGGGTTCATTACGGACAGTCAAGGTGTTGACTGTCGAAGTTTTGGGGTCTTGTTGGGGGCAGTGAAAAGAAGGCTTAGGGGGGCAGAAGCTGAAAATAATGGGTTGGGGGGGATTTAAAAAGCTGGAAATTTGGGGTTCAAGTGTGAATTCTGGACGTTGTGGGTTTGAGGGGATAGAAGTGCCGACAATGATGGATTAAGGGAGGGGGTTGATTGAAGTTGTGGGTTTGGGAGGAAGCGCGAAAAGCTGGAAGTCGTGGGTTGAGGGGTTTGAATCGATGGGTTTGCGGATGTATATTATGCTGGGAACACTGATGGGTTAGGAAGGAGTTTGGTGGGTTTGGAGGGGGGTAAAGGAAATGGTTTGAGGTGACCCCTTGCGGGGTTTGTGGGCTGAGCGCTGCAAGGAGGTAGTGCGATACCATGCGCACTCTGAATGACCGAGTAGTGAACTGCCCATTGGTCATCCGCCCCGAAAAATAAGGTTAATCACATCTAACTCAATGAGTTAGAAATTAGCGATTAAACTAATTAGAACAGATACTACACTTGATCTTAGCCAAAAGGCCGAGAAAGGTATGAATCTTCAAGTGTTTGGCGGGCGCTTATATAACCCCGCAAAATTGTCGCGGTTTGTGGGTCGAGTGGGAGACTGCATGTGTGACGAGTCAAACTGCCGCGCGGAACCGTCCGATCGAGAATCGACGGCGTGCAGTGCGCGAATATCGGTACGGTTTCGACGTCGTCAGTAATTAAACCCACGGTCGAGATGACGCGCGCTAACGAAACCGACAAACGGAGCCGCCGATCACGAAGTCGAAAATTTTGAACCTGCATGATTTGTCGTCAGCTCAAGTTCTCCACTACTCATAAGTTGGACGGAGGACCTCGGCGAGACTTGGCGAGAGTCGGCTGAATCGAAATTCCATGGAACACTTTTGAAAACTCAATGTTTTTAAAGGCAAAATTTTGCGGGTCACTCGAAACAACGATGGTAGAATCCTGACTCACGCAACTCAAAAAGGCAGAAAGCCTACGGATGTGTAGAATCCGTCTTGAACTTCCAAAATAGGACACTTGAGAAACTGTGAACCTTCAACGCCCGTAATAAAGGTAAGTCCTTCAGCCCCACCCCGAGCCGCCAAAAGCTGGCCCTTGCCACGCCTCCCAACCGTTGGCCTTCCAACCGATGGCTTTCGAACCTCGGATCTAAGCCCCCGAAAGTTCGAGCACCCTAAGCTTTGAGCGTTTAAGTACTGAACGGGCCTTCCAACCCTACCAGGGGCGACCGACACTTTGTGCCTCGTTCGTCCGCCTCGTTGATGCCGACGCGCAGAAAATATCTCCGCCTTATATGTCACGGATTCCGCAGACTTGTCCATACTTGGCTTCTCCCCCCCTGTACCTTTACACCCTCATCCCATTGAAATAACTGACTTCTCAAATTCTCAATTCATAACCGCTTTATCCCCGCCTTGCCCGGCCCGCATCTGGGCGTCCTTTGCCTGCCACGTCAACGCTTTCATCACAGCATAGTGCAAACCCTGGGAATTGTAGAAATGCATCTTTTCTTCTTCCAAGCCCTCAAACCTTGAAACCCTCAAGCCCTTGGCCCTTCCCTCCCTTGAATACATAAACTCTCAAATCCAAAAACCCTCCAAACCTTACACCCTCAAAACCTAAACCCTCAGAACCTTCAACCCTCGAAAGCTTAACCCCTTAAACCCCACCTTTCGCATCCGCGCGTCCTTCGGTCGCCGCGTCAACGCTCTCCTTCGCAGCAGAGTACAAGCCCTTGAAGCCCCATAAACCCTGAAGATACCCTTGAAACCTAAACCCTCAGATTCATGAACCCCTGAAAACCCCACCTGCCGCGGCCCGCATCTGCGCGTCCTTCGCCTGGCGCGCCTCCTTCTCCTGCAGCCGCCGGTGGCGCTCGCGGTCGTCGTGGCTCAGCGGCCGCGCCTTCGCGGCGACCTTCTTCGGGTCCTCGCCCGACGGCTTTCGCCGCGCGGTGGTGGGCCGACTGCCCGGGGAGTCGCTGCCCTTCAAAAACTTCCTGGAAGACGAGAATGGAAAGTGTATCAAGGAACGCTTTGGTTCTGGGTAGTTCGGAGGAGATATCAATTCGTGATGTCAGCAACTCGAGATTCTGGTAGTTGACGCTGTGATGTGCAAAAGAGGCCCGGTCGGTTTGCAATGGACTCTGCTTCGGCCGGTTCGAGGACTGTCTGCCACGTTTCTGGCCCGTACAAGCTACTACTCTGGAAAAATGCTGGCAGCGTTCAAAACTTTCTTTCCGAGTAGCTCGTCATGAGGAGCAGGCCAAAGTATCGCTCGCAATACCCTTTTCACGTGCGTTCTTAACCAGACTCGGTTCTCCGTTGCTCTTGCGCTTGTCAAATTCAAGTTCTAGCCAATCATGCGGCCCCGATGTGAATCGACTGATAGGCAATGGACTGTCCAATCGTTGTCGCCTTGGCTAACAGACTCGTTCGCAGGTCAACTTTCAAATCTTCACGTGAAACAAAAGAGATCATGAAGCCTATCTAGTAAAGAGGTTAACGAAAGGGAAGGTTTCATTGAAATGGTGGCTCATCCTAGCGCTCCATCACTGATGCCTACGAGATGCACGCCCAATTCGAGTCACCCAACGGAGAGTGCAGGCAGAAGACGCCAACTCTGCGTCAATCTGCCCCATCCTCCAGACTCCAATATATTATTCCCTTACCTGCTCGCGCTTTCAAGCTTCTTCTGCCGCTCCGCCGCCTCCGTCTGCGCGCGCGTCGCTCGCGCCTTCCTGACCGCCGCCCCGACCTGCAACGCCGCGCGCGCGCCCAGTTTCGCGCTTCCGGGGCGCTGCCCCGGAGAAGGGGGTGGTTGTGCGCGCGCGTTTGACCCCCCCGAAGGGGAAGGAACTGCGCTCAGCTGCTCTTCGACGAGTTCGGAGAACAGGTCGCGGATCGGGCGCTGGCTCGGAGACGGAATTGCCTGTAACGAGGGGGGGGGAGGATTTAGAGGTGTAACGAAAAACAACATGTGAGTAGTGAAGGGTTTGAGAATTAATGCGTCCGGAAGAAAGATTTTAAGGCAGACACAAATGAGGTCCATAGGTCGCCCGCCAATTGAAGTAGATGGAGTACACGCGTGAGAGGAACAGACATAGTCAGACAAATAAGCAAAAAATCGTCAGTGAGCTTAAACCTACAAATTAAAGGGTTTTAGGACTAAGAGCTGTGCCTAACCATAGAGTTTTTTCTGTGTCTTCTTGTAGGGCCCCACTTGCTTCCCCAAAAACAGCCGTCGAGTCTTCTGCGCGACATTTGTATCTATACCGATCCCATAGGCCTCCTCGGAGATGACCTATCTACCTTTGCCTGAACTTGCACCCATAGATCACCTGTTCAAAGGAATCATGCCTCGTCACTTTTCCGCGCAATGCCGGATGGCCCCGCCCTGCCTTGGGACTGCTCTTTGAATTACTGCGCAAACCTCTTTTACCTGTATCAAGCCCCCATCTGTCCTGCAGAGTGATCTGACGCTCTATCTCGCTGCCACAATCTTCAGATTGGTCATTAAAGCTATTGGTGTCTCTGACCTTTTCGCCGCTGCCCCGGGCAGCCCCGCTTACTCGCGAGAAAAACTGCGCGCTCTCCATATCGAAGCCACATGTCACGGAAACCTTCTATTCGATGCTCTATCTTTTTGGTAAAACGCGCAGAGTATATCTGAAGATCAGGATTGCTGACCTTTTCGCCACTGCTCCGGGCTGCCCCGCTCTCCCCCGGGGACAGCTGCGCCGTCTGCTGCGCGAGCACCTCCAGCTGCGCGCCCTGGCGCGCGAGCCACTCCTGGTTGCGCCCCGCGCTCTTCTGCCGCGCGAGCGCGCGCGCTTTAGCCAACTGCACGCCCAAAGCTTAATATCCTCTTCGAACACGGGAAGCTCGATGTTGTCCTTTCCGTTACCAGGACCAGAAGCATTTTGGATTTTGAGGCAACAGGATCAATTCGCATATCAACCCCTTTTCTGGTAATCTATCATCAAAGTTGTTTCGGGTCGTTTCATACGTGGCCTTCTGATCGATTCAGATTGGACCCACTGAAGCATCCATTTTCTGAGCACTTTCAAACCACTTGAACGAAGGACGTGCCCTATGAGAACTGATATTGCGGTGTGTCCCAGTCAAAGACGAGACTGTCACGATGCAAAACAGGAAGCCTCTTGAAATCTGTCTTTCCGCTCGCGCACGCTCACCTTGTCACTCCCCGGGCTTGTCGCCCGCTGACCCTCCGGAGACTCAATCGCCGCCGTCGATGTGTCCGCGCCATCAATCTCTACGGTCGGTTTCTCCGGACCCGTCATCTCCACCGCTGATTTTTCCGACCCCGCGATCGTCGCCGTTCGCTTCTCTGATATTCCGGAAAACGCGGTCCCTTCCAAGGTTCCCTCCTTGATTGCCTCTAGCGTTCCGTTCATCTCTCTTAACCCGCCGTCCAAACCGCCTCCTAAACCGTCCTCTGAACCCGGCTTCGGGTCCTGGTTTAGGCTCTCCTGCAGCCCGGCGTTTTCGGAACCCTGGCTGATTATGAACCGTTGGATGTGGTCGCAGTACCGTTCAATGGAGGAGCGGACGAAGGGCAGCGAGAGGATCTTTTCGATCGACGGCCTGGATAGAGGCGTTTAGGGTTGACGGTTGCTGGTCAGGGGCAAGTGATTGCTCATTGAGGAGGCCGCAATGGGCTACCACGTCGGTCCGGTTCAAAGGAATTGCCGTAGGAGCTTGGTGCACTTTTCCCGAGTGTTGTGTGAACAATAGTTCTTCGAAGAAAGAAGGCATGAAGCTTTGGTCCAAATGCTGATACCAAACTCAAAAAGAGGTTAATGGAACAGCTGAACAGTTGCTGGCGACATGGATTGGCTCCAAACAGGATGAACAATCGCCGAGGAAACTGAGTCGACAATTGCAGAGCGTTCGATTTTTTTATTTGGCAACAACATGCGAGAACCGCGTCCATTCGAATTCAGGAATCTGACTTGCTTACCTGTGCTTTGGGTCTCGTTTCAGCATGGAAGCTATGAGGTTCTTAAGGTTGGCGCTGTAGTTGTTTGGAATGGGCGGGTACTTGCCTCGCAATATCTTCATGATCAGTGCCGGCAAGCTCTGCAGGAGGCAAAAGTGGTCTAGTACCGGGTTTGAGACAGGCACTCTTTCATGAACGCATGCTTTGAGATGAAAGATGTTCAACCCGAAGCCGGGTGAATCCAACCTTTTGATCACCGCCGAAGACTTCCTGCAGTGGAATTTAACGGTAGATGGACATTGGGTCTGGTCAGCTAGAAAAGCGTAAGCGAAAGCCAAAACATGTTTCTGCTGGAAGTAGGTTTTCTGGATGAAGTCTGGGACCTACATTGCAAATCTACGGCCTAGCAACGGAATACAAGGTTGACAGAGAGCCCGTGGGAATCCCGTTAGACTCGATATCTACAAACCTGCACTCTGAAAGAACGACCAAAGCCGCCAAGTGTTGAGATTCAAAAGGTTTGAAAGACGTCTTCTCACCGTCACCAGCTCACTGAGATGCCAATCGTGGTAAGAACGGCGAAAGAGAGGAGGCAGGAAGCGGAGATTGGAAAGCGGAGAGCAGGGAGCGGAGAGCAGAGGGCGGAGGGCGGGTTGCGGAGGGTGGATACGGAAAACGGAGCCGGAAAATGGAAGAGGAGGGCGGAAAGAAGGAGCAGAAGGCGGAGGGCGAAGGGCGGAAAGTGGAAAGCTGAAAGCGGAAGGAGAAGGCGGAAGACGGAAAGTGGAGGGGGGGCGGAAGCGGAGAAGCGGAGAAGCGGAGAAGCGGACCGTTCCGAAGACGCCCCATCTCACCTGCCCGTCGAACGCGTGCTTAAGCGTGACCATCTCGTATAGGACGCAGCCCAGCGACCATACGTCGCTCTTCTTATCATACGGCTTGTCCTCGCATATCTCGGGCGACAGGTAATACGGAGTGCCTATGACGGTCTTGGCCATATCCCCGTCGCTGCTCAGCACTTTGGCGATGCCGAAATCGCCCACCTTGATGATGTCATGCGCCGCGCAGAAGATGTTCTGCAGGGGGGGAATATTGAATTCGTCTATCTGAGGGCTTTCAATATTTACCAGAATTTGCACCAGCAAGGGAAAAGAGTACATTTGTGGAGAATCGGGAACGGCAACCGGATTGCAATGCTTCAGGGACCGCGCAAAGAGCGAAGCGAAGATGTGACGTCCAGATATAGACGCCACTTCACTGACGAGAAAGTCCAAATCTAAGCGAATCCAGGTTTAGACAGCGTTTCAAAGAAGGAGCGAATCCTCCAAACGCAATCTCAATCACCAACAAACCCACTTTAAGCCGCCACTTCAAACGAACAGGACATTGCTGGGACAGAACCCTAACCCAAAACCGAACCCAACCCACCTGCGTCTTGAGATCCCGGTGCAGCATGCGCTTCGAGTGCACGTGTTTGAGCGCGAGGCAGATCTGGACGAACCAAAACATAATCTGCTCCTCGGAAAACGGCTCGTTTCCGGCGACCACCCGCTGCTGGATCCGTCCGTAGAGGTCGCCCTCCTCCGCAAATTCCATGACGATGTGCAGGATTCCGGCTTCGAGGAAGCACTCGTGGTAGCGCACGATGTTGGGATGGTCCAGCTTGGACAGAACCTCCACCTGAACATGCGAAAATCTACATTAGAAAGGCAAATTCGGCAGATTTGCGAGTTGCAAAGAGGGTATGGTCCACTTGAAAGTTTCACAAAACACAGGGGCAACTCTCATATTGGCTGACACCAAAAGCAGAGCTGAGGGGCTGATGTTACGGGGTCTGACGGGTAAGAGGAAGGCCTCATTGTTAGCAGACTCGGGGTCTTTGGACGAGAGGCTTCAAGGCTTTGAGTAATGTCGATCGGGAGTGTGAGATAGAGTGCTTTGGAGCACTACCAAAAGAAAAAACTCGGATGGAAGAGCGAAGCAACGATTTGACGCAACCAGCAGAAAATCGACCAAATTAGAAAGGCCCGAAAGGTCAAAACGACAGAAGACTGCGGCTTCTCCTCGTCGGATCCAAGCAAACACCTTACGGCTTGTCGAGCTGATCATGGGACAAACACTAAGACAAGGACTTCAGGAGTGTGGGTATGGAGGAAGTGGAGCAACTCGAGCAATCGCCGAGGGATCTATGTCTGTAGTCGTTTGTATCTCGATGCCGGCAATTCAGGCATAGAGTGCGATGTCGCTCAAGCCAGAAGCTGTATCATCTTCTCTCAACAGCCTCAGAACCAAGCAGTCTCGCTAATTCATCCGACTCGGACCTCAAAATAAACCCAAGTTCTACCTCCTTCTTTCGAGTCCACTTGCACCAACACTTAGCAAACTCGTTTTTGGTGTTGATGCGCTGTTAGAAGCAAAACCCAGTTTCAACCACTAACCTCGTTCCTAGCCTCGAGCCGTTGTTCGAATCCGAGGCCGTGGATGTTAATCTGCTTGACGACCAACTTCTGGCCGTCAGCTTTCCGCCGGACCAGCACGGCCTGCCCGTACGAACCTGTTCCGAGGACGCCGACCTGCAAAGAAGTCGAGCAACTTCGTCAGACTCGCAAACACTGGATTGCAAGACGTAAAAGCGCTTGACCACGACTACCCCAGTCTGTGTCAGTTGGGTGCCTGTGCAGTTGGACCGGGACATCATTTCTAGCAGAAATTTGTGGACCAGAAACGTCAAATGATTGCAATCAGTGCATTTCAACGTGTTCTCGTCCATCATGCGGACCTGGCGCGGTTTTTGTGTACCAGCTGTCTTGGCGGCAAATCCCCTTTTCTCAAAAGCTGTTGCACCTCATGGCGCAGCATTTGTTGTGCTCTCAACTTGGGCAAATTACCAACGTTTCCAGTCAAAGTCATTGTAATATTAAGGGGTCACTTCCAGCACGAAGGTGCTATGCCCACTGATTTGGCCACCAGGTGCTTGCATTGATATCTAGTTAATCATACAATTGTTTAGTAAAAGCAAACCTCTCTGAGTTCTGTGCCCCTCACCTCCTCATACTTCTCACTCCGCTTGGGCCCATCGTCATCCCGGAACTGAAAGAGCGGGTCGTTCACTCCCAGCCCAATGCTCCCGTCCCGGTAGATCTTCGGAGGCTCTTTCCTGAGCTGCTCTGTCTTGGTAAAAGTCTCTGCGGCAAACACAAAGTTCGCTCCCATACTTGCGTTTCCCGCCTAGGGCGGCTACCAATCAGCTAGCCCCTCTAATCACTTGGTAAACAGCTGTGCAGCGACTTGGCTCTCTATCCTGCCCCTCTGGCTGGGCGATAACATACTCTACCACAAGGTGAAGCTGCTGCTAACTGTTCTTGGTTGAAAGTGCCCTTTCTAACCCTACTTGGAGTATGTTGAACAGCGGTTGACTCGTTGGCGGCAAGGGCCGACGCGGCTGTTTATTTTTTGTGCCTTTCTTCCCGCCACTGTGTTCATTGACGCAGCGGTTGCTCGCTTCCGGCGGCGCGTTTGTTCAGAGGAGCTTCAGCAATTTCAACTTACCAAGCTGGCATTTCGAATGACAGCTCACTGGCGGGTTGCTTTGTGGCATTGGCCCTGGTAACAGAAGCATTTTCTAGGACGTTCCTTTCTCGAAAAATGGAGGATTGCCAGATAGGGTGAGCTCAGCTTTGTTTACCATGACGGTAAGGCTGGATTGGCATCTGGATAGACTTTGGCCCAGCTCTATATGCTCTTATAGAGCTGACGCCTTCCCACAACCCTGTCTCTTCAAAATAGCATCCCCCTTTGGAGGCGACAGACACGCCCAAGTCCTCCCTAGTTACGCAGAGGCAAATTAGGGTTCTACTCTGCTGCGCATTCTTCTTGAAAGGGCCTTGCGTCATACCACGCCGCGATTTGAGGTGGGCACAAACCCTGATGCAGCGCGGCAATGCAGAGCTATTTTGATCTCTCCAAGCAACCAGAAGCAGCTTGTGATTTTGACTTCTCACAAACAATTCAGCTTTCTGACTTGGTGGAAGTCATCTGGCCTGGCCTGAGTTGCTTGCATCCGCATGCAATCGTGACCCCGTGCCTCATTGAAGGGAATGCCACCGAAGCGGCGAAGGTGAAGCGCCAATACCGGAATCAAATCCCCTTCTTGAAGTTCTTCTTGACGGTCCGCAAGCCATGTACATACAGCCGTGTACACCATGGGGTGAGTACGGGCTCTCATTTGAAAGCAGCCAACGCTTTGCACACTGTATACCGGTACTTTGAAACACTGCAACGTTGTCCGCACATCGTCGAGTCAGCGCATTGATACAACATCGATCGGACCGTCGGACTTGGGTTCCGACAGCAATGATCATCATGATGCATGGCAAGCATTTGGCCAAGAACTATGTACTAACGCGCGCGTAGATGATGATCCGACGGCTGCACTCTCGCCAAATCCATTATCGACGGCAGACGTCTGATAGGCCGCACTGGCGTACGCAGGATCTAGGTACGGTACAACGGAAATACGAAATTATTGTCTAGTAGTCTAGCATTCTGCATGAGATGCACGTAGAACGGCTAGATGTTTTTTCCGAGACGGCACCGGGATCATCCACACAATGCAGAGTCTTTGCAAGATAGTGCTTGATTGAGAACTTTTATGGTGCTGTGATCGCCAATTGAAGCAGTTCAAATATTGACAGCAGTGGTCAGCATTGCTTCTGCAAGGGGGTCCGCACACAAAACTGGTTTCCTTTGCTTCTTTATCAGTGTGAATCTGCAGCAGAAAGTGCAAGTATTCGGCTACTTCTAAAATAGTGCAACGACTGTTGCTCGTGTCAAATTAACCGATCGCTGGTCCGCAGGCACAGGACAAACAAAATTCGGATGGTTTCTTCTTATCTCTCGGAGCCCCGAGATACTCAAGGTTCCAGCATTTTCAAAGACAAAGATCTAGGAGACCAGTACCTAACACAACGGCTCCTCAAGGACCTTCTAGCAGACCCGCCTCCGCCCCCGGAGGCTACGGTCTTTGACACCGCCGCCGACGTCTGCAATGCTGCTAGTCAGGACCCTTCTGTTGTGTCCAATTCGAGGGCCAATGCTGGCGCCGTAATCCAAGTGTCAAAACAGAGACGTGCAGTGGAAGATAGGATGGCGCCGACCAGAAAATCAGTCGCGCCCCTGGAGTCGAGCAGTACTGCAAGCAAGAAGACAGGAAAGGCCCAGCTTGGGAAGCTTGCTGTCAGCATGACGTCAGAAAAGAGCGTGGTGTTGGCGAAAAGCCAGCGGCCACACTTCTTGAGCGGTCAGGAGCACAGTTTGTCGTCAGCAATATCAGACGCGCGATTCAGCGCTGCGCCCGACGTGTTTGGCGACTCGTACGCTCCCACAATGAGTACTTTGGTCGCCCTCCCGGATGGCGGTCGCGTGTCCGGACGGTCTTCTTCGGATGGGGAGAGCGTGACGTCACCTCTGGCCAAGGAGGAGCCTCCAGGCGTGTTTAGGAATGCATGCCAGATTGGTAAAGCTGTCACAAAGTCAAAAACGGGTCAGGGTGGGTTAAGCAGAAAGGGCTTTGAGAGCAAGACTGAGACGGAGGTTGACGAAGAGACCAGAACCAATGGGTTAAGGGCCAATGGGTCAAGGAGGGTTAGGGCGGGTTCGGAGGTGCGGCGGCGGTCCTCAAGTGGGAGCACTGCCTCCGAAACGCGCTCCAAGAAAACGGCCGCTCCTAGTTCCCCGGTCAAAAAGCAAGAGAAGGTTGCAGAGAGAGGCGGAGGGAAAGGGAAGCCGAGGGTTGGAGTGGCGCACAAAGACAAGGTTACAGAAGTTAGCGATGCGGTCTCGATTGCCAGCTGTCAAGGCGAGGGGATGAAGTGGGCGGGAGGCTCAGCGGAGAGTCTGGTCACCGGGTTAACCCGCAAACTGCAAAATTTGGAGGCCGAATTGTCCAGAAGCAAGTCCATTTCGTCGGAAAGTGAGGCTGACCTGCTCGAAAGCAGAGCCAGTGAAGCGGAGGTGCGGCGTCTGATGGCTGAGCAGACGGGACAGCTGGCAGCGTTGAAAGAGAAGGCTAACCGAGCGGAGGGGCTGCTTGAGGAAACTCGGAAGAGGGAGAAGGAGTTGGTGGAGATGGCCGGGTTTGTGCGGAAGTTACAGGAGCGGGTTAAGAACTTGGAGCACGAAAATGCAGCGCTGCGCAGAGAGGGGCGCGGAAGCGCAAAGGTGGAGAAAGGGGAAGGGACGGAGGGTCTGGTTCGGGAGGTGGCGAATGAGAGTGCCTTTACGGAGAACGGGGTCAACGTCGAAACCAGGTTTTCGACCGGTCGCGAATCTGGATTTAAGAGCGACTGTAAGACTGAAGTTACAGCCAAGAACGGAAGCGGGTTCGAGACAGGGTCCAGCAGTGAAGTCGCGGCTGAGCCGAAGGGAGAGGCGTATCCGCCAAGCCAGACGAGTGCGGAGTCGGGAGGAGTAGGTGACAGCAAGGAAGCGGAAAGACTGCGACGAAAAGTGAACCGGTTGACGGAAGAAGTGGGCGAGATGAAGGCCTTTCTGGCGGACTACGGGTTAATGTGGGTTGGGAACACCCACCCCAGTAAAGCGGTTTCCTCTTCCGGGCAGGCTTGCCCAGGGTCTGAGTCAGTGGAAAAGCGCCCGGGGAGTCCAACCGGGGAAGGGCAGTGGGAGCCCTCCAAGTCGTGGGCTCCGGTTATGGGTCGAGGAAACAACACGGCGACGGTAACGGATGAAACTGCTCCCAAACGTCTGCCTACCAAAACGCCTGCCGTTTCCGTTCCATCCTGGTTAGCAGCGCACCTCGAAGAGCAGAACGGAAAGGTTTCCTCGACGGAGGCTAAGTTGCCGAACGCTTCGAGCCCAAAGCTCTCGAGCCCAGACGCTGTGACAAAACAACCAACCGGAAACCTTTCGAGCCCCATCTCCGCAGAACACGGGACCATGAAACCGGCAAATTTGGACTTGCCTTGCCAGAGCCAGCGGACGCTGAACTCAGCGGAGAAAAGCTCGTCCGAAATCGTCCGGAAGTCGTCAAACCCCCTGGGAAAGCGCGATGAGAGTATCGATGTCCGTGCGCTGAGGGAAGCGATCGACGGCCTGAACGCGCTCGTGAACGAAGGCGGCGCGACCGTTGTGACCAGCCCAGGCGGACGGGAGCATCGCTTACAGGTCAGGGAATAAGCTATGCACCAGGATCGGCCTGTCGCAAAGGGTCACTAACGGAACACTAAGAGAAAGGGACAAGCTTGCAGCGTGACACAAGCAAAAATAAGCAGCCTCTTTGATCCTAAAGGGAGTGGTAAAATGATCTGGTGTCCGGTTTTCAGTCCCGCCCTCCTGCCTGCTTGTCGTTCTCTCTTTTATTTAGCCTGCCACAGGATAGGCAATTTGTCGAGGACAGCGTTTGCTTATGTTTTGCGAAATAATCGAGGGGTATACAGGATCAAAAGCTGGTAATCAGCCTTTGCAGAAATTTCACAGAAAGTCGAAGGTTTTTCTGCAAGAGCGACTTGAAAAGTCTACGCAAGCTGCCTGTCCACAGGAGCTCCAACCCCATTATCACAGACTTCATCTTCCCTCCCTTCTTCTTTCGACTCTTCAAGTTCTGACGTCGTTGCTGACAGGAGCCGGCCAGCATCCCGCTCACCATCTACGCCAACGGAATCCAGCTCGGCAACGGAACGGAGTTCCGGCCCGCCGGCTCGCCCGCGGCGCGCTCCCTGCTCGCGGACATTTTGGACGGCTTCTTTCCGTACGAACTGAAGGCGACCCACCCGGACGGCGTTCCGCTGCGCCTTGTCGACCGGAGCGCGGAATGCTTCACGCTTCCGTTCCAGCCTTTCCGGGGGGAGAAGCGGGTGCTCGTCAGCAGGGAGAACGGATTGGAGCGGAAGGAACCAAATGGAACGGAGGGCGGAAGGAAGGGCGGGATCGAAGGGGGCGGGCTAAGTCTGGCAAGCGGATTTGGAAACGGAATTTCCGCTTCGGCGGCGGAAGAGGGAAGCGGAAAGGTGATCATCTCACTTTCGACTAGCAGCGTTTCAATCAAACCATCGGTTGACGAGCCGCCCAGCGCCGGCGGAATGCTGACATCACGAGAAGCAACTAGAGCGAGCCGCGCGGAACCACATCCGGTCCTCGCATCGACGTCAGACGGCCTGTTTAGAGCCGATGCGCCGACTGAGGGGGGGCCAATTTGCCCCCAACCCGCACCCCTCACGCGGGAAGAGTTCTTGGACCGACTGCCCAAGAGAGTGATCCGCGGCGGAAAGCTGATCGACGTCCGCGGTGAGATCGCGCAGCTTCTGCGCCCCTTGGGCGGCGCGCGCGAGTGGGAGCGCGGCCGCGAGAGCGCGGCGGGCAAGCGCGCTCCGGAAGAGAGGATCACTCCCAGAGCATCGGCCGACAGCGGCCCTGCGTCGACGTCAGGTGACGTCAGCGCCCCGGAGAGGAACCAGAAAGCGCACAGCGGAAAAGGAGGAACGGGGAAGGAAAGTTTAGGTTTGCAACGTGGCAGTGAAAAGGAGGCGTCGCGGGCCGCGGTGCGGTTGAAGGTGCGGGGTTTGGAGGGTTTGGCCTGGGTGGTGGAGCTCCCGGTGGGCGCGACGGTCGGACAGCTGTACGAGACCGTTGAGAAGCTGAGGTACGCACCGGGACTCGATAGCGAAAGCAAAACTGAGTTCAAAGATTCTTTCCGGATTTCCAAGGACTGGAAGCAGACATTTGGTGGCTGTCAGCCTTCAAAGTTGTCTACAGTTTGCAGCTGACGGAATGTAGAACGTGGAATATGAGGGGAAGTCCTGTCGTGTGTGCTTGCAGGGCAGTTGTTGGCATTTGAGAAGTTTGGCAAGCGCCTCGAAAATATGTCCGGCTTATTCTTTCTCGTCACTTGTGACGTCCGTGGACAATCTTGCGACCGAATAGCGTCAGCAGAGGTCTATCTGACGGCCTTTCGTCCCACAAATCAGTAACGGCATCAGAGTCTTGTCAAGAAGCCCAACAGAGTACCCGAATGCATTTACCATAATCGGAACAATTTTGCAAACCAGGAAGTCGAACTACCATCCGTTTCCTCGCAGGCGCAAGAGCAACGCAGTGGGCAAGGAACGAACCCCAACGGGCGCGTTCACACTGTCTACCACGTTTCCCACGGCGGCCCTTTCGGACAAAACAGCCACGCTGTCCGAGTTGGGTCTACAGCAGGACACCGTCCTTGTTCTCAACGAGGGCGTCTAGCCACGTGGTTCCGCTGCGGCCCCTTCGCAGAAAATCGGGTCCTCGTGCCGCCGAGGACTGAACAAGTTGCACTAGATTTAGCGACCCGTTAAATCCAGGCATACGTATACGGCCAATCTGGTCGCCGAGGCGTTATGGTTCATACGACGCTCTCTCATCGACGGCTCAGACTTTCAAGCAACCTTTGCAGCTTGAAGCTGACAATATCGTGAATGTCGTCATGGGCACATGAATGTTTTGAAAGCTAGACTCGTTCATAAAATTGGATGACCAAAAAGCGCTTGACGACCCGTGATGCACAAACCCAGATGCCCAGAGGGGTTATCGAAACGCGAATGTAGGAGCATCAAGGAGCTACTTGTGCAACCGTCCCGCCGCATCAGATTGCGGCACAGCTGTCAAGGATTCCAGTCTGAGGAATGCTGTGAGCTTATATACCCAGTGATCGCGAGATATAGAGCAGGACGCATTGATGGAAACGCAGCTACAGTACTGGTTTCACAGGGCCCGTCGTCGAGGCTACTGTCTGATAAAGAGCATATACAGACGCGGGACCGGGAGCCGCACTGCGACGTTTATATTGCTTGCGATAGCGCGCACCGAGCTTGAAGCACCAATCAAATGCATGATGCACGGTTCGAACCACTGCTTGAACTGTGCCACGCTCCGGACAACGCGCTTCGAGCAAACTGGGCGACACATGGTACGTGCGGTTCATACAGCATTTCCAGATCCGTATGACAAAGAAGAGATCGTTTTATAAGCGCATCTAGAGATAATCCGTGATCAGAGAATTCGGTCTTGAATTCAAATACCCGCTTCATTCCGCATAAATCATTGTCACCTGTTTCAGAGTCAGGCCCTTGGACTTCAAGGCGGAGCTTACGGACTATCCTTCTCCGTCGATAGACAATCGTTCGATTTCAAGATCTGGTTCCGGGACAAGATGAGGTCGGATGGGAATTTTCTCCCGTACTCATCTGCCGAAGCGGTCCCGAATCCAGGATAAGCAATCGGGGTAGAAGACGGACCGAGGAGTGAGGGCTATCTGCAACAACGTGGGATGACGTCTTGAGTGATCTGATCATGCCAGTTAATGGAATGACCGCCAAAAATCACTTCTTACGCCGCGTTTTCAGCCAATACATGTCTTACGTCAGGTCCTGATGCAGAGAGAGGGAACAGGGGCTTGCGCAAACTCACGTTCCTGTCTCTCCGATGCTTTCCCGCGTTGTGGTGATGACAAGCAGCCAACGCTTTCATGAACGAAGAGCGAAGCGCCTCCCGCTCCAGCTGCAAAAGGAAGAGCACGAAGTCATAGCATTTTCAAGGCAACATGAGCTGGCCCAGACGAAAGGAATTAAATACCCAAGTGCAGGGCTTTCTCCCTGTGTCGTTGCGAATGTACAAAGTATCTCTAAAATTCCCGGGACTGTCACATGCAAGCAAGGCAGCCACAGCAAGAGAAAGGGCACTCATAGGGCGGTCCTCACATGGGTTCTTGGCGAGCCTTCCCGAGTGGAGCGCTCCCCAAAACTCTCGTAATATCATCTGCTTCAGAAATGCATCCCGCGGAAAAGCAAAACCTTGCCAGTTTCATTACACCGTCCGAGGACTGAGCGCCGATCATCCCCCTATGAGCGTCCCTGAGAATATCGCGACAAGATTCTGGCGGATGAAAAGACGTGTTATCGATTCCTGAGGGTCTGAAAATAGCCACATGTGAGCGCCCTATCAACGAGTCAGTGTTGCTCTCACCAGCCCCCTTTGGTTCATATAGTCCTGGCGACGAAACCATTAATGCACATAGGTGCGGAACGCGCGCTCTAGGTCCGTCCGTCCCAAAACCTTCACCAAGGATTGGAAATTCTGCACAAGAACACGGCAACTGAACAAATCAAGCCAAATAGACGATTTGCTTCTCGCCCGGTGCTTCAGGCGATGGGTCCGTCTTTTACTGATCCTCAACCAAGGAATCACACGTCACGACTGGACAAACCAAACAGACACTTTGCTTTCAGCAAGTAGTTCTTTACCTTCTTCCCCAGTCCTCCTCCAACAACATAATTGCCTTTCTGCCTGACTTCCTGACTATAGCACGAAGTCACACTACTGAACAAAGCGAACCGACGCTTTGCTTCTGGCTAAGTGTCTGAACAACGTGGAGGCACCTGAATTGCACTATCTTCCTCGACCACCATGAAGGGGCCTCAAAGGATAGCTGCTTTCCCACCATCTCGACTCCCTGGTAATTAATTAGGACCTTTTGCAAGCTCTAGTCGACTGATTAGTCCCAGCAAGTCTCCGCTGTGTACCTTGCCTGATTCGGTCTCTGCCCTCTCTCGTCCGTGGGCGGACTTGATGAAACTGTTTGAAAATGATCAAGGTTTGGCAGCTTGGTTGATTGGCTACATCTACTTGCCAATCGTAGGCACATATAAAGGCCTCTGTTTGCCATATGCTCAATTGCACGGAGTTTCGAAGATCGAGTCGTGGGGACTTCCTTCGGCCTAGTCAACACCGTTCCCACCTCTTCACTAGGAAAGTGAAGCCTCCGTTCCGATCGATCAAGTTCTGCAAGACTCTAGTCTCGTGTTTTGCAAACTTTCAAATGAACCCGGATCTGGCTGCGCCACTCTTGCGTCGAGCAGCTTCAAGTACTCCGTTCAATCTCCTCCATCAAACGAAAATTGCAAATTTATTTTCGTTTGAGGAAAAAGTTCGGGATCTACCAACCGTCGACCGTTCGTTGAGCCTGGCATCTCTCTTAACCCCGGTGTCTCTGGTTGAACTTTGACGCGGGTCTTTCTTAGATCACAAGACGGATTTGATATGTCTTACCGGCTTCCTTTTCGAAATCGCATGATCCTGATGTAGTGAGAATGAAAGGATTCGTCCTCATGCTCGAACATTGTTCTGGCTGCTTCCAATGAAGAGCGCAGCAGATCACATCTCAATGTTTTGGATCACGGTGGACTTCGAAAAGATGCTTCAGGAGGGAGTCAGATCATGCAGTGGCTGCTGTCGGATTGCTCGAGATTGTAGAGGAACACGAGGCCTTGCTAAAGCATATCTTAGAACGCGTGCTTCGATCAGTTACAAAATACTTACTGTTGGTGAAAGGCAACGGCAGGCAGCTCGTTCCGTGCAGATGTTCTTCTTCGGAGACGCGTAGGAACTTCAAGAAGGTTCCGAAGTTTCCTATAAGCAGAAACAAAGCAAACATGTACGTTTGTTCCATGCGAAACGAATGTCTAATGTTTGGCGTTACTAGTAATTTCGCTCTCGTTTAACGAGGCATACTCAACGAATGTCCAATGTTTGGCGTTACTAGAAACTTCGCTCTCGTTTAACGAGGCATACTTATGATCGTCTTTAGGCCTTTTTTGACTTCTTTGTAGTCTATTTCGTTCAGGATACTTTTCAGAAGTGAGTTCAGTGTTTGTCGTAATCGATGTGACACTCAATTTTATTTTTGACTCAGCAGAGTTGGTTCAACAAGTTTCTGAGCTTCGACATGAGACAAATTCTTGTCAAGGATTGGCTCACTAGCCCGTTTTTACGAATATGCAGGCTTTCCATCTGGCGCCACTCTGCACTCCCTTCAAAGATGCGAGGTACTCCTCCTTACAAAGTAGGGCTCTCGATCCAGAATGGAAAGACATCAAATTATCTAGGTTAGTTGGAACGAACGAACATAGTTCCGCGCACACTTTTGGGTTCTGCTCATACGTGGCGACCAGGCGGCTACCAGTGGGGTGCACGGCGGCGCGAGACTACAAGCTCCTATGGAATCATTTTAACCGAATGCAGATTTCAATCATTTCGTCATGTCGCATAAATTCTGGACGATGGAGCCAATCTCCATTCATCCGACATGCGAATGGACAGGCGAATGGATGCGAGAACCCGACGGAACTTTAAGAATTCGCCCCGTGTTGGCAGCAGGTCGGCAGTCTACGGTGCGACAAACTTTTATAGAGTGAAAGTTCGCGCGACCGCGGGGACCGCGTCCGGATGGATAGGCCGTGACTTCTCTTGGCCCGTGGAAGTTTTTAAGGTCGCGCTCTTGTAGGGTCTACCGGCTGGTGTCCAAAGCTAAGGTGGGGGGAGGCTTGTGGTCAGCGCCCCGGCCGCTTTTTCCAGCTGAATACAGGGCAAACTGCCCCTATTTTTGACCCACTTTGTAGCATATTCGGCCATATATCAATATATATAGGCTTCGGGCAGATTGGCTTGCCTTAGGCTTCAGAGGCAACCCCTTGCCAGGGATTCCCATGGACTTTCGTCCCGGCCAGCCAGCCACAGGCAGCCCCCCGGTTGTACTAGCTGGGGGGTAGGCAACTGCAACTGGCTCTACCGGCCAGCTGAGCGCCCTACGGGCCTGTCGATTTTACCACTACCGAGCTGGCGGGGTGCCTTCGGCACCAGCCAGGGTCCCTTCCCGGCCAGCCAGGTCCGCCCCAGGCTGCCAATTGTGGGAATCCCGATTCCCTGCCCCTTGCGTTTGTACACGGGGGCCAACCGCCGCGAGAACGGCCGATTTCATGTAACGAATCGGCGAAGCTGGTCGATTTTCGATACAAAGCCTCTGTGCCAAATCTGTGGCCCTGATTGTATGTGTCCAATTTTGACACTGATTTAATTGGTAGACTTTTAGAGGAGGTGCAACTCTCCGGACTCCGCATTTTCGGGTGGGCTCCGCGTTTCTCGGCCACATAAGGAACGTCGGTCGGTACCGAGTCCCGACGGGCTTGGAGCAGCTATGACGTTCTTCGTCGATCGGAGCGGTCAAGTTTTGGGTTTGTTTACAGGTTGTCATTTGAGCTCATGACCCCGGGTTAGCGCCCCAAAACCCATAATCTACAAAGGTATAACCACACAAAGGCAACTTGCCACTCATATTCCCCGCAGGTGAGCAGATCGGTTCACCGCTTGTTCTGAGTTGCCAGGCGGAGGGGGCGGGCGGCCCCGACGGGGGCTTGAGCCTTGAGGCCTCT